TAGTGAATCCTCGCAATCCAGTTCGGAGGACGAGGTTGCAGCGAAGAAGCCAATTCCTGTTGTGAAGAAGCCGATGTCGGTGAAATCGAAGCAGGAGAGTAGTAAGTCTTCAAGAATCTTCTCAGGTTCCGCCTATGTGTTCGTTTTATTGAACTATCTTTTTTGAGTTTTGTTGATTTCGGTTTTGCTAAAGGAAAAGCCACTATCTACACGTTTGCCGTCTTCGGCTTCTAAGACCTTGTCTGTTTCAGATCAAATACTGGAATCTCACACTGTGTGCTCATTGAAGAATTCAAACTCTGCTGCTCCAAAACGACCAGTCTTGAATGATGACTCGTCGTCTTCAAGTGAGTCGGATCTTCCTGCGAAAAAAAGGAGGTTTGGAACCGAACATCCAACTTCAAAGGGGAAGGATAAGGCGTCAAAGGCCATGATTTCCAAAATTACCGTCTGTGATGCCTCGTACAAAGGCAATGTCGGTAGGTTCATGTTCTACGGGTTCAATTATTCAAATTTGTCGAATCTCCCCCCTTATTTTTATCTCATCTATTTAGGATGTTCTGGCGCTGGCAAATCGAAGAGCGCCACATTGTCCAATGTCATTACTGATGCCGACTCCACACCAAAGACGCCTAGTGCTGTTACAGGAACAGGGACACCGAACTCCGCTAAACAACGACTTCCATTCCGACGTGTCGAGGATGATGCCTACGTGGTTCCACCAGAGTTGGCCGACAACTCTTTTGCTGCGAAGGTACGTTGTAGCCTGAGGGTTCATCTCTGTATGGGTAAAATAGTATACAGATTTGTAAGCAGCAACAACTTATCGTGATATTTTGAGTCAATTGTTGAGCGTTTACCCTTTTCAGCGAGGCGCTCAAGGCAGTTGGGGTGAGCGCGCGGATATGACCCTGAAATTTACTCGGGGTAAGGACTTTCGTCACGAGAAGACCAAGAAGAAACGCGGCACCTACAATGGTGGAATCATCTCCACAGCAGTGTGTTCCTTCAAGTTTAACGAATAGCTGCTCACAACTACCATCCCTACCGCCTTGGCTCCTCTGTACATACGAATGCACCCACTAATGCATCTGTTTGGTTACTTCCAATCTCTGCCTACGGATTGTGACCCTCAGGTTGGGGTTTTCTATGGGATTGAGTAATTTTTGATGTGGTAACCAACTGTTCGTAGTTGCTCAAAGGTAGCAATGCTACTGTGGTGTCTTTGTACTCAAATGCAACAGGTGGATTATACCACTTTCTCGAGGTAGGTCGTGGCAGCTGTTGAAGACGGCTGGTAACAAAACAGATTTTGTGGCTAGAATATGGTAGGCCGTTTGTTACCTCACTAGGCTTCACCCTCGGAATCTCTTATCTATAGTGACGTTCGTCAACTTTATTTGGTAGGGCGATAAGATCATTCTCTATTGCAAAAAATAGATTTGGTTCTACGGGTTCTAGTGGCGCCATTCCATTATTCAGAGGCTCGCTGAATGTCCTACTCAAGTATTTTAAGCATGTGCATTTGGGGGATGGACGAATGCTATGCTACTGATCATGGTTCGAGGAAAACCAAGGCGAAGTTCGTAGGTCCGGTCTGTGTGGGAGCGGTTCGAGTCGAACCGGTACTTTTATTTCCTGATGTTCAACGTGGAAGTGGCAAGTGGAGTGGTCGAAGCATACTGTGACTCAATTCAAACACCTTTGCTTACGACAGCAGTGGTGGTACCCGCACGCGTGATAGCACTGCTTGTGGAAGACTCCAAACAGCATGCCGATAGGGCGATCAACTGCAATAAGACATCTGAATGGTGCAAAAGTTTCAGACACTGATGTGGGTTATTGAGGTTTCCGGCTGAGGCGATTGCCCATCCCCAACAGCTCTTCCTGTCAACACCCGATGAGTGGAATGCCTAGTCGATGCATGGCTTGTCGTAGGTTAGGGTTGTAAGGACGAGTCGTCCTGAGGGAACCGTGAACACAACCAAGAAACATTTTTCAAGTGTTGGTTCAACTGAGGATTAAGTGCCTACAGGCTGAGATGAATCGTGTTGAAGAACAGCAGTGTCCACTCCCCAAGATTTCACCTCTCCGATCTGTTAAATGTGGACGTCTCTTGTGAAAGGTAGACTGCTTCCTCCGAAAACTTGCTTTTTGGTATCGAATAGTCCCAGTAAACGCGTAGATTTCATTGCATTTAGTGAGGATATTTTACATGCGATTCCACTTCTTTTCGAAACAACTTAACTCACTTTGGTTTAGCTAACAGCACACAAGTGATCGCGAAATCCTCACCAGGTGCACCGTTTCGAAGTTTACTTGATTTGACGCCCAAACCATAGACAATATCTTTCAAAAAGACACGATTGACGTCCACTTCTTGGATAACCTCTTGGCTGGATATTTCTCAGTTAGGGTACTACACAAGGAATCAAACTGAGGCACTTTTATTGATGAGGAAGTAAATGCAACGCGTGGAAATGACGTCAACATTCAAAGGCACTGGATAATGAAACGAACAAATCATTGGAAGGAAGATTAATGAGGAAAAAATGGGTGAGATCGTCTATTTGGATGATAACTGAAGGCACGGATAGGTAGATTGCGCCTGAAATTTTGCGGTCCAAATTGAAGATGAGGATCGAAGAGTACGATCTTATAGAAAGACAGATAGTTGTCTCTGAAAGAATAGTTAGATGAGAGAATGATGAATGCAGTTCTGTAGACGCGAGAACGAATAAACTATCTTTTGTGGAAGACTAGGTGGTGGAGATGTTGGTTATGTGGACGTGTTGGATGCTTCAAAGGAGGGAAAAGGACAGAACTCCAGCCTGTGGAGGATCCGGCATATGAAATAATAATATCGACAAGTGTAAATCTGATAGATTCGATTGAGATTAGGGACATTTCATTTCTCCGCAGAACCATCAATTGCAGAAGGTGAAGAAGAGACGGTGGTGGCTGTGGTTCTATGGATGTGTTGGACGAAAAGTTCGCGGACAATACGGATTCTTGCCACCTCAAAGGCCACTACCATCCGATGAAGGTCACGGAAGAAACGACAGTCTAGATGTTTCAACAACTTCTCCAGCTGTCCCACATCATGCTGTTTCAGTAGTACCTTAAAAACAGATCAGAAAAAGTCAAACCAGTAACCAGTAAGAGATCTACAATCGAATTTTTCATGGGTAATTTAGCCCACCGTAAAATGAGCTTCCTCAATGGAATCTATGGCGTCCACATACGACTCGATGAGTTGGGAATTTCCTGAAAGGAACAGGCAACATCGTGACAAGTTTGATGCAGGGGCATTTGTGTACAAGATGAGGGATGCACACCTTTATCAAAGTTGGAGACGGATTCTTGCAGCTTGCGGAGGTCGGAGAACCAACTTTGCTGCTCAAATTCGACGTTCTTCAGACTCGTAGGAAACCAGAGATCGGGATGATGGCGTTGTGTGTGGGGTATGAGAAGACTAGATAAGGCGGCAAAAGAAGAAGCCCGTAATTTCGCATTTCACAATCCGTTTGACTGACCCTTCACAGCTTCCAAAGATACAGGCTAACTAGCATGTACTGGAGTTCTGACTTATGTGTAGAAAGCTACAGGGCTAACGTAATCGAGCCAGAGAACTCCACAAAAGACGAACGTACTGACGATAGTAGACGCAATTCCCTCGTCGCATTTCGACACGTTCCCAGCCGAGAGGAATGCGAGGCGCGATAATGGGATGTTGCCAAGTGGTGGTTCGGGCGCGATTTCGGGAAGAGATCGATCTCTTGCCTCCACCACCGTTACCAGCATCGCCAGTAGTGCAGGAGACGTAAAAACGCCGACCCGACGAAGAGACACCCACTGCCCAACCCGTTGGCAGGGGTAACGAGATGTTACTGTCCAGCTCCAGCAGATCCTGTACGAAGAGAGGAAAGAGGGAAGGAATGATGGCTGCAGCAAGTTGATTTCAATACCGAATCCAATAATGGGCAAAAACGTCATATCAAGAATATATGTTTCGTAGATCAATGGACTTGTGATGGCTTACAAAAGTGGAGCTATTCAAACAACGTCGACTTCTGTAAATCACTCTGGAACAAGTTCTGCACAACGATCCGTAATGGAGCCAATCCTAATGTTTACACAAAATGTTAGACAGTCAGATGCTTCTATTATGAAAATGAGACTTCATTAATTTTGCAAGGGGTCTAAACGACTGGACAATTTCTTTTCATCGAAAAGATCAATTTCAAGGCATCCTGGAAGCAGAATAAGAGAATTCGCTTCTTAGCAAGAATCCTACGGCAATATGGGGTTGAAAAACACTTGATTTGCATGGAATCAACACCATTTAAACAATTTTACTCTGGAGAAAGCATTCTATGCGCATCATCATACTCTGCCACCAACACGTAAATTCCAAGCACCGAAAAATCCACACCTGCAACTGAAATGTCCCAAAAGTAGAAAGCCAAGAAAATATTTGCAGATTTTTTCATGGAACCAGAAAATGATTAGTCCGGCTAGTGCTTAAAAAATAGACTATCAAATGGGTTAAATACCTGTTGACTGCCTTGAAAAAGGCTGAGAGTTTGGGGACGGCAGATACTGCCAAATTCATTTCCTACCAAATAAATCTGAATTTGTAAAAGATAAATAAAGAAGTAGTATTTTGCAAAAAAGGGACTCGATCGCACCTCAGACAACTGCTAAAATTTCTCATATACGGGACTATTTTTGAGTCGTCAAAAAGTTGAGACAAATCAGGATGTCTTCAAGCATTCGAACAGCCCCTTGATACCTTTATTTGGGCATAGAAGTCCACCTGATCAGGCAGAATTAGAGCTGGATCTTGTGGAAGCATGTCCAATGCACAGGTCCCATCACCATCTGTCTGAGTGCTGTCGAGGGGCGAGCCCGAATCATCGCTACGTCGACCCCAGAGCTGGCGTTGAAGCGGCTCCACTGCAGGTAAACGGCGTAGACATCGGCGATGACCTTGCTGCTGATTCTCCTCATCGGAGACCAAGAAAACCTCGTCTTCTTCCTCCCCCTCACCTTTCCCGATGGAATTGCCTTCGTCGAACTGCGGTGGAGGGTAGAGGGTGAGACTCGGAGAATTTGAAGGGGAGGTTGTTGGTACATTTTGTGGATGCACGGTGGAAGATGAACCTGAAAGATGAGCAAGAACGTTTTAATAGTAACAAATGCTCAAAATCGAATGCATTCTTATCAACTTTGCTGGTCAAGATATGAGTCGACCCACGTCTGCCAAACCAACAAATAAACTGTGATGAATCACCAAGTGGAGAGGACTCTATTCCCTTATTCGTCTTGTTCGTCTATGTCTGGCTAACTGCTTCGTTAACTCAGATGCTAGGCTATGGGATAATCAAACCTAGTATAAAAGGCGTATCTTCTCTTCAGCAAACATACTTGATGCAGGTGCCCGGTGTTCACGCGTCCTATCGACAAATGTCGGATCACTGGGGTGTGGAAATGGCGGCAGCAGTTGGTGTGGAGCCGCCAGCACGGAGGCAGCGGCGGCGTTATCTGCAGCAAAGATGGCAGCTGCGGTAGCGAAGTGATTTGCAGCCGCTCTAAACCAGCATGCCGCTGCTGCATTCGGTGGCGGTGGTGGGGCGAAATAGCGAACTTGAGGAGGTGGCAGTGGGGGTGGTGGCGGAGGAAGGGGAGGTGGAGGTGGTGGAGCAGCATGATGGTACCAAGAAGTGGGTTGTCCAGCGTTCAGTGGTGGAGGAGGGCACCAGTAGGGTGCGCACCAGGCTGGGGCTAATCGCTGTGCAAGTTCGTTATCTTCACCGCTGGTGGGATTGGGGGTAGTGGTTTTGCGAAATGATTCATGAGGAGAGGGTGCTAAATCGGAGTAGGGTCCGGTGTCTCCAGAGCAAGTAGTGATTGAGATTTTGGGTCTCACATCGGTATCACTTCTTCCTCGATTACTCCCACTGCTTGAAGTGGTGGCAACGACGGGGGCGGTGTTGTTATTGTCATTTACTTCTCGATGCCGTCTTCGTTGATGGCGATGGTGATGGCGGCTACGTTGTTCCTCCGTAGAATCGGGTCCAAATTTGGAATCGAGATAGCGGGAGAAGTTTCGGAAGCCGGGTGGGAGGTGTGGAGGATGAGGACCCCCTTCGGAGGCAGAATTCTTCCGTCCCCTCCCTTCTTCTTCTTCGCTGTCGTCCGTTACAACAACCCCTCCATCGTCCATCGCTTCCACATTCACAGAATCGTCCTCATCGAGAAAGAGATTTATTGTGGAGGAGGCAGGAGAGGAGGCAGCAGTAGTGTCTGCAGTACGGTGAAGGTACCAGCTGAAAGGTCTGTGTTGAAGCGCTGAGAGTGGATCTAGTGAAGAGGTGGATTTTGAGGTGGATGATTGTTGACTCTGTTGGTGCATTGACAGCATATTGCGCACCGCATGGAGCAGACAGATCAACTAAAATAGCACAGAAAGAATAAGCTGACACCACGGCCAAATATAGAATGCCCGATATAATTTGGACTGGCGTTGGTACTCTTCAGTGCATTACTTTTAGATTCCTCACTGACTGACTTGTCATGAGGAGTTACTTTTGCATTACAGAGCTCAATACAAAGACATTTCCTTGATTATCTACAAATAACTCACTCATCAGGACGCGCTTCTAAGTCATCATTTCCCACTCAAGTTAAAAAAATGCAGCTAAGATCTGTCTACTCGATAAAACTTGTGGAACCATGAGAGGTAGGTGGAATTTTTTTCAGAAACAACTGGGACTAGCCAATAATTGAGAAGTAGGGCCTATTCTTGCACGACAACGCAATACCTCATAAGAAAGAACGCCCAACAGGAGGCTTTATAGTGCATTTTAGGGATGCAGGAATATATTACTTTATCTCCGCAATCATCTAAAGTGGTAATTATCACCCTTCCTTGGTATTGCTCAATCACATGGAAAATCGACAACTCGTAAAATATAGCTTGAATAAAAGCAGAGTCAAGACCTGTCAGGGGTGCCTCCAATCTCAGAAGAGAACCTCCATTTTACTAGTCCAAAAGTTTCTTTTCAGAAGTCAAGCCCCCAAAATTCTAGAACATTCCTCCGCTTGCACTCACATCAAGTTCTCCTCATCAATCACAATGATGTGGAGACAATCTCTGAATGCGCTGGTAACCCCACCAAGGTCAAAGCCACTCAAACCAATTTAAATTCGTAAGAATGGTGAGCATTTAAGACCCCTACCGGGTCATCAAACGACAATGCTTATTCATGCTATAGTCCTGCTGCACCCACAGTACCAGCATCTGGTGGAGATCTTGGTGATGTCCGCGCACACACACGCACAGCAGTATACAAAAAGTTTTGAAATAGTGGGATTTGAAAGCGTTTGCCTCGTTAGAGAAGGATTACAGCCTGTAAACGTTTGCTGTTTCAAACAAGTTTTATCTGAAGAAACAAGTCCTAATAGAAGCACCGGAAACAGCGGTCAAAACGACAGGAGGACTTACTGTAATGCAAGTTTGTTAGGATCAGTTTGATTACCTCAATCTCTTGAACAAGCGGACATAACTGGTTCTCAAGGTGGAGAAAAACACCGAAATCTCCTAAAATTCGTTACTATGTAGACTCCCCTACGTAATACACAAACATAAAAATCCCCTCTAGCAACTTCTCTCGATCCAAGGGTTAGAAATCGGCGGCAGAAGGGATAAGCAACAAAACCACTACAGCTATGATAAAGTAAAATGATTATTTAATGACGTCTTTCTCACGGCAGTGATGTGATTATAAAAAGTAAAAGAATGTTCCACAAATACTACGAAAGAAGCATGGCTGATCCTTCCGACGCAAACGGAAACAGCTGTGGCCGCATGCCAGTTCACTCTTAGAAGGAATAAAAACTATGAGTCCGTTGAATTTGAGAAGGGGGCGTACTGGAATGGAAGGCTTTGAGAAATGTAAGGGATAAAGTGCGCTCAGAAAGGCATGTCGGGTGGCGTCTCCGAACCACGTGTGATTGGCTTATCTATCAACCAATCTCAATGACTTAATCAAAAGCTCTCTTTTGCCATTGGTCATGAAATTGACTCACTTAATCGGCCTCGAAGGTAAGTGGAGAATTAGCTCCTTTTTCGGTTTTATCATGAAGGATACACCAAGCAGAGGACTACGTTAGCTAGACATTTGGTGCTATATCACTATAAAATGGAGTGGGATTCACACATGCCTGCGAATCTGAAGAATTATAAAACGGCAGTGAATCGTCAACTTTGGAGCAAAAATGCTGAAGCCTCCAAGATGAAGGGCTTTAGCAAAGGTGAGAAAAAATGGGCTGGCAAGAGGGGAAGAATGGGGCAGAGGAGGCGGGGAAAAAGAGCGTCGGATGTAAATAGGTGAAGCACCAAGACTGTCGTGAAAACAATGCAGACACATATGCACATATGTGGGGAAAAAGGAACGGAAGGCAAAGCCCAGACTAAAATACGATTATTTATAAATGCGACCTGAGACTCCGACCACTGAACTGCTTTTTGGTCATAAAAAGAGACAATCTGAGGGGAAGGTCAAACTGTCGGGAAAGAGAACCTCTATGTCATCGAGTGAAAGGTGCGATTTTAAGGCTTGAAGGTAACTCGTATATTCTAAATGTACTCAAAGACGAGTGAATAAGGGGTGTCTAGAAAAAAGGAGTACTCGATGAGCGTGATCTCCATCAGGGATAGTTAGGTAGAATTTCACCGCAATTCGACTCTCAAGACGGTACTTAGGGCTCTATCTATACCAATACTTGTCTTCCAGTCCTTCTGTATGTTTATGATACAAATACTTTCAGTAAAGCACGTCTGATCACGTCTTCAAGGGACAATACTTTGGGCGACATGTGATTGGCTCGCCTACTGGCTGACCTCAACTGCTCAATCAGAAGCTCTCTCACTCGCCCAATCAGGCTTGAAGAGAGATATCATAGGCGTAGTGTTTAACCAATGTTCACCTGCTTGTGATTCCCTAGATCCTTCACGATTGACGACGTTTCAGAATTGAAGGTGGTCATGAATCATCCTTTAAATTTCGGAAAAATCCGGAGAATCGACTGTTAAATTTGGTGATTAAAATTACCAAATATTTCAAGCCTAATGGCTCAATAGCAGCAATAGAGATAGATGAAATGAATCCTTTTCTTGCCATGATAGAGCATGGCTAAATACAGAGATTTCGCCAACTGACTGGTTAGATTAAGACTTCAAACATGAAAATTGACCACCATGTACCAAACCACCAAGTAACGAAATATTTGCAGAAGGAACTGCCAGTGACATTTAAAAAGGTGTCAGCTCTGTCGGAGATAGCAGAAGAAATGCCGATTGCTTAAGGTGCTATGTCTGCAAAATTTCATTTTTTATGATCTGGAAAATGAACGCTTTTGAAAATTTGCCTGAATTGTAAATTAATTAGGGGACTTCAAAAACGACTGAACAAGGAGATTCCTGGGGGGCCAAGAAGAAGGTAAATTATCAATGATGAAGGCACTTAAACTTGGGAACAAAATAAACTGCAAAGATATTTTAGTAAAATAATGTCAAATGCTCTGTTACCAACTAGACAGGTATGACTCAGAATTCTGGCTAATCATGTCAAAAAACCTCAGCATTGGATACGGGTGCAAAGGTAAGAAAATTCCACTAAATCTTATCCCTTTCACTGTTCAGTAGATGAGTGCACATTGGAGAACATTTTGAAATAATAAAAGTGTCGCTTTATAAAATTGAATGGTGGCTATTGAGAGATGCAATGACTAGCTGCAGTGCATGTTTATTTGAAGATACTCCTTAGGTGACGAGTGGGCGGATCAAACCATCCTCATGATCGAGACAGAGCGTCTAGAAAGTTTGTGTAATTCCGTATCCCGACAATAAGTAATGTGTTTCGCAAAGCAATCTTTTTGATCCAGGGGTCTAAAACCGGAGATAGAAGAGAAAAACGATGTGAATATTACATTGGTGAGGGCAGTGCGATCTTCCTTCCTTCATAAAGGACAGAAACTTTGACAAATGGGTCAAGCATGCCAGATTAAACCCCTGCTTCTACTTCTAGAGACAAAACAGTTGAAGTACTAGAAGCAGATACCCCTCTATCAATCAAAGCCCGTCTTGACATAAGGTACCCAAAATCTAGACAAAATTGGTGAATGCATCAGTAAGAAATTGTTGCATCCCGCATTTTACTTTATGGATGTCAATGCTTGTAATCATAGGGGATAGCAGCTGTCGATATCCCGTCAATTTTTTCAAAGATGAAATGTATTTTTACGTCACTTAGTGCACTTATGAAGAAAATAATTCAGATTTATAACGAATGGATATAAATGGATTGAAATGAACGGTAATTCCCTATTTTTAATCTCTGCAAGGGGTGATCATGACAGTTTACACGTAAACGACAGAGTAAACATAACGTTTGCTTCCCAAACGTGAATCGGTTTAATAACACCACTGACCTTAATTCAAGGTGAATGCGTTGGAAAGGTTGAGTTCTAATAGGATATTTTGCAAACTTGCGTTTTGACTCGCATTCTCCACCTTTTTGAGAAATAATTAACCAATCTATGCCGCGATCTCATTCTGGGGTTTTGAGAAGTAAAGCACTTGTGACTTTAGAGGCGGCGGATAATTTTTGAGCAAAATGGAGTAATAAACCGGTACTTATTTGTGGCTTCCAACTCCTCAACGCTATTGCGCGCTAAATAATAAGCCATTCATCTACACTGACATGCCCTATCACCAGGGGCCACAGTGGTTCACATATCCGATCTAAGTGAAGAACGAACCACACCCCGTTGGCTGAAATACATCTGCTAAGGATGGCTAAATCTCTCGAGAATCACTTCGGAAGGGTCGAACTCCTAATTTCGAGCTCTGGGGGACCAGTTTTCAAAAAATCGGAACCGGTCTTCAAGAATTGCTTGCCGAGCACCCCTGAATATAAAGTAATGTATCACGGTCTGGGAATACTGTAACTCTTTGCATATTGTTGCCTTTTAGTCAAACATGCGTGGAGTGTGTTCAATATGAAACATTTACGGTCTTTAGCACCACCGCTCAAATTAAGCCATTCGCGATACTATGTGTCTTGAAGAGAGCATGATGCTTGGGACTTTTAAACAGAACCATAGCAACCATCACAGCTAATGAAACAGCTAGCATTAATCTTTGAGTCCGTCTCGCAATACTTTACAATCCACTAGTTAGGTGGCTACGGTTGAAGCAGCAGAGTGACCGCGGAGAGCACCAGAAGGACGTTTAAAAGAATAAACTATGGAGTGAACTATACGACGGGAAAAATCATCGATAGCACATATATATATATATATCTATGAATGATGAAATCGAGATTTAAAGTTATCGACGATCGAAAAGTCTTTTCGTTATTAGCAATTAGCTGATTTCTACGGGGGTGGACTTCAGGTTTAGATTGAGAAAATTTCCCAATCATAGATATGGCTAAACCTAGTCTTGACTGTGACAGCTTCTGAACAGGAGGTAGTTGAATCTTGCAGCATGAAGTGCTAGTGGTGCTGAGAGGCTGACGGCACAAAAGCTCGAACGCCTACAACAGGAGCAGCAGAGGCAGGGATAGTAGCAGGATAGCACAGCCCAAAGCAGTACGTGATGCATGCAATCAGGAATGCAAGGAATGTGATGAGTGCGGAGGGAGAGAGGGAATGGAGGATGGGAAGTCTGAATCCCCCACCCCACGCCTTCGACTAGCCTCCAACGCACAAGGTGCATTGCTGCATTGTGCCGCGCCATACGTTGCCATCCCCACACGCATGCAAACGTCCGCGTGTGCGCGCACGGTCGGCCAGGAGGGCTGTGGCGGGTGGAGGCGTTGGGAATCCACCTACCCTCTTGTAGACCCTCGCCTTTTGCCTCATTCTCCTGCACACCCTTCAACTGATGGGGTAAGAAATTCACTAAACTCGTCTCGAATTTGTAATGCACAGTGAAGGCGAATGGAGCAACAGCTTTAAAGCTGTGGCTCGGTTTCTCTATTGCCCTCTTTCTTAACTTCTGAATGGAAAAATATACTGCTAAAGCTGTTCGACAAAGAGTATCAAAAATCACGATCTTTGTCACCAGATGATGTTCGCAAAGACTAATGGCACCGATGAAAACTTTTCCTCTAGCACCTGGAGACAAAAAATGAAGACTCCACTAGGCTCTTTGTCCAAGTAACAAGTTGTAGTCTAATCGAGGAAGGCATGAGATATGGTTGCCTAGCTAAGAATAGAAGTTAACCAAAAGTATGAAATTGCCTCCCACAGTCATAAAGGGGAAATGCAGCAGCAGCAACAACAACAACAGCAGGAGAAGTAACTGTGAATTGATGTGATTTGGCAAGGATTTTTATTATCAAGACCTGAACAGTTTGTATCAAAGGAATGGCTAAAAACTTTTTAGGTACATAAATGGAAAGAAAAAGGTAACAGAAATTCCTCATTCCTAGTTAAAACCCAGCGAATGAGAGTGAAATAATTAACGGATCTCTAAAGGCTCAATGGAAGGTGGTTACTGAGTTACTGATTGTAGTGTCCAAAATTCGTGAGCAATTGGACGCCCTTTTTTGTAAATGAGGTATTCACCTATTTTCCTACATAACTCGCCCCCAGTTTTATCTTAACTGGAATTGAAAAGAGAGAGAAATAATCACGGAAGGAAGAAATCCTATCCCATCGATTACTCCCTAAAATGTCCCAAAACATATTGTAAACTCCCTTCAAACTCGGTGGTGTTAAGGTGAGGCCGTCTACGCAAATCCATTCAAACATCTTGATATATTCGGCTGGGCCCTATATTCGTTGGAGGGAGTGTACTATTTCTGTAGTCACACCTTGGTAGCTACCCAAGATGTAGGACAAATTAGCTAAAACTGCGAATTAGGCCCTTATAATCATAAACCAGAAAGTATGGTAGCAGTTACCGTAAACTGGTGTAGTGCAACAACTGGCAATAGAAAGAGCTTTATAACTCCTGGCTGAACAAAACTATACTGTGGGTTTCATGATGAATAAAAATATAAAAAAATAGACAAAAAATCTTCATTTGGGAGCTGTTTCACTGTAAACAGGAGGTATCAAAGCTCAAGCCAAGTTGACAGTTGCCTATTCTACTCAAGAGAAGGCATTCATATGCTTGATCGCCCGCTTTGGTGATCTGTAGCCACTGATCTAACAAGGTTGTTAAAAATACCACACATATGTCGACGTCTACTATCAAGGACCCTAGATCTGGTGTAAATAGAGCATACCTGAGAAATGCATGCAGGCATCCTGAAGAGGTGTGCACACAACGATGCCTTTAAATGTCTAGCCATAACTTAAAGTAAATTCAGAGGCTGAAAATAAACCAGATTACATCTATTTACTGTTGAAATTTAATTTAGTGGCCAAATCATTAGGTAAAGTAGCATCGAAAAAATGGTGGACATTTTGAACATGCTACTGAACTACGAAATCATCAAGAAGTGCTCTGCAACACCTTCTAAATACCTACTGTTAAAAAAAAGGAGACGCAAGACTTTGGTCCTTAGAAGTAGGTATTTCTACATCTTGGGAGTTTTGCATTGTCACACAAATTGGACAAATATTCGCGCAGACTTTGGGCCGTTTCTGCGTACGAAATGCCTCGCCTAAGGCTACCACCTTAAAGGTCAAAGTTTTGTGATTACCGGTGCAAAGGGGTTAACTGCAATCTATGCAACGCTTGGATATAAGGTAGAATAAACACTTTGGTCAACCTTCTACTTTTATGTGAATGCAAGATTAAAATGGGCGCAAAAAATATGAAGATAGGGGATGAAAACCAACGGGAAAAAGAAAATTACACAAATTAAACCTACAGGAACTAGGTTAGCATGGCAGAGCAAACTTTCAGTTGAGGTTTATTCACATTGTGCCATTTTGGGCACTTTCTATCTACTTCAAGGAGCTAGTAGGCTAACCCACCTGTAATATAGGCTTGTTTGAATAGCCCTGTTAGGTGACAAGCGGTCAAATTGCGCCAGCCTGTCTCGTGACTGAGCAGACGTAACCGATTCTCAAAAAGGAGATGGATACTAATCCACTAGCAAATTTCGTTAATTTTTAAATCCCCTCCCGTACTACATAAACATAAGACGTCCCCCTACAGCCAATTTTTTGATTCAAGAGTCAAAAACCGGAGGTAGAGGCGACCAGCGGAACAGCTACACGTCTATCTTTAGACTAAGTACTACGATTCTAGGACATATAAGAGTGAATAGAAGAGGTTTGTGTACAACTAAGTTGCAGACAATTTTACAAAGAAAGCTAAATCAACATTGCACTTTTACCACTTGTCAATACTTTATTCAATTTCGGCTGAAATTGTTAAAAGTAAGAAGAAAACAGACACGGTTATTGCAAAAACCCATACCTTAGAGGACAATTTAGTTAAAATGAAGGAAAGAGTGACGTGCGAAATGATGAATAAGTGAGGTGTTAAAGAAACCTACTTAAGAACGTTTGGCATTTAAAACAAACTACGCGAAATAATAACAATGAGAACAAATAGGGATGATAAAAGTCAAAAAAACATTTAATTAGGTTGCCACTTCCCTAAAAACTTGCGGCGAATCGCACAGATGAAGAATTCGCTTTGCTTGGAAGCTATCTCATCTGTATGAAGAGGACCCGAAGAGCTGACACAAAAGAAAGCAACGAAACAGAGAGAAGAAAAGCACGTTAAAAGGGACAATACTTAAAGAAAAATCCAAAGATGATCGTTCAGTAAAAGTGAATATGGTAGCAGCGAAAACAAGTGAAATTATGAGTGCATAAAAAGGGTTTTATCGTTTGATGAGTTTTAGTAAATCAAAGAAATATTCGATCACTATACTGCTACGACAAGTAAAGGAGGAGCGGCAGCGATTGTGATAGCTTAACCCATCTACCATGCGCTGTGCTACACTCGGTGGATTGAATCTACGATCAACAAGGGCATTAGGAGAAGTAGCAACAAGAAGAACTGGGCCCGATTCACCTCATCCCTGTTGAAGTCCTGCAACGAGGACGGAGAGGAACCTGCGTAGCATGAGGAGGCCGAGGAAGGAGAGGAAAGATAGTAGGGGTCGATGTCGCCGAAATTCGGTCCGGAGACAGTTGGATGAGGTGGTAGCAGCTGCGATGCCGGTGGTGGCAGTGATGGTGTTGGCAGGGGTTGAGGTATCGATTGCGGTGGAAAGAGGAGGAGCGGAGTGGTGTGTGGATGGTAGTGTAAGGGAGTAGCTACTACCGGGTAGTGAAGGGCCTGGTGTTGATGGTGGTGGTGGTGATGAGTGCTGCTGGCCCATGAAGGATGTGTTGATTGGCGACCTGAGTCACTCTTCGCCTTGGCAGAGAGGACTGGAAAGTGGAATATAATAAGACTGGTCAAATTCCTTCGTCTACCTCTTACGTAACTCACCAGGTTGGAAGGACGTGACTTCAAGAAGCTGCTGAAGTCGTCGCTCCAGATACTGTAAATGCTCAAATGACATATTCTCCATGCAATAGGATTTAGATTTTGAAGACTTGGAAGGCTGGTTTCCAAGGGCATGACGTGAACCCGGGAAGGAGATGGATTGGGGAATAGCCCCACTGATTTCACCTCTTTTTGGTGTGGTTGAACCGGGAGTTGCACCTGACCTAAGGAAGTCTAAAGAAGAAGAAGATTAGACAAAAGCATTAGGAAAACTAATAGACCTACGTGCACTGCGGTGAAGCTGCTGAAATTCCTGATTCGTTTCAGGCTGACCACCACGTACAGGCGTGCTAGGTTGACTAGCAGGATAGCGTCTACGTTGGGCATCGTTGTTAGCAGTGGGTTGGTACTGCGCAGCAAAGAAGGGTCTGACAACTGTAGAGGGGCGAACACGACCCAGTGAAGAAGTGGTGACTGTGGAACTGACCGGAGTTTGGGATGTGGGTGGCGGGTGTTTCTCAGAGGTGCGCCTACCAAAAATAGGCAGTTTGGATGGCCGCAAAACACTTGAAGCGCCACTCGACTTACTCGAAAATAAGTGCGAGTCTTGCCCTGACATCATGCGGGTACCCCAACTTGACTACATCGTAAGTCTAAAACATCAGTTCCAAAAAAGCAAATGAACGCAACATCCAAGACGTGGGTATATTTGAAAAGCATACAAAAAAGTAACTAACAGAAAATAAACGCAGGCCATTGAAACACCCGCAAATTTGTTGTTTACTAAATTAAACGAAAAAGTTATACTAGTAAACAGTTCTAGTGCAAATTAGCGTAAAATGGTTAGTCGCACACCTGCCGCAAATGCGTTTTGCACATAGAAGCAGTAAGCAACCAGTATTTTAATGCATAAAATGGAGAGAAAGAGTAAGAATCACCAGTACCACAAACTGATTTTACTCCAGCAAGTTAAAAATACACCATCAAATTAGAAGACTTAAACAACTACCTTAAGGACGCGCAACAAGTGATTAACAAGTGAAAGGTTTTTAGTGATGTTGCAAGCTTTGAGCGTAATAACTTAAACTTTAACCCTTAGTGTGCAAAAAATTTAAAAAGGCTAGGAATTACGCAATTTACCCAAACGAAGACACTCACTGGATAAAACCATCAAAGCCAGTAAGTGCCACTTTAGTTACTTTAATATATTGAAAGCAGCTGCGACCTTTTAATTATGCATTCTTAGGCGCCGTAGTAAGGCGCAGGAAGTTGCAGTGGTATAGCATAAAACACCACTAATGTGCGAAAGTTCGTGGTCGGCTGGCATGACTAAGAGGGCATCCGGCTGGGTGTAAACACAAGTGTCTTTGCAACTTTACCAAAAATCAAGTGCTTCTATCTGTCTTGCACACATTTTATCCTTTTTAAGTGTTTTTCTGGGCGAAATTTGGAATCTATTCATTTTTTTTCATGTTTAATACATTAAGGGCATATCACCTTTCACCTTAAGGAAGAATAGATGCAAGTATTTTGAAGACAATTTAGCACATTTTGTTTCGTAATTTTCCACTACGTCCTTTTTGGTTTAATTGATCAATGAATCGTCTCGAAGGTTAACCGAGGTGGTTGAGGTGTTGGTACTTTGGTGCGTGAAACTGATAAACTGCATCTGTGTCGGGAATGTCGTGTCCCTTCTTTTTCGTCTCTCGCAGACCTAAAAGTGGCACATCGCAAGTTCAGTTACAGACTGATTTATATGACTGGTATGCTTAAAATGTTCTATTTACACAATGGCTAGCTTAAAGAATATTTCGGACCAAATAAAGAAAGATGGCGTTTACGTGCCCGAGGTTTTACGGCCTCTTGTCCGATGCGTTATCGTCGAAACTGCTGTTGGGCCCTCCCACATAGCATTTCGACTTCAAGTAATTATTATGAACCCACTTTTACTTATTATTCTTTCCCTAAGGATGGGCGGGTTTGTCGTTTGTCGTACTCGCTCCGTGCGGACAAATTAGTGTGTGTCAACGAAAGAAAGTAAAGTAGTGCACTTTTGACAACATTGATATAGACGAGGGCGTTCTTCAGATTCAAGAACTGAATTTTCTTACAGTCGGGGGAGCAACGCTGGCTCAGTCCGGGTTCCCAATGCGCCTGTAGCTCTACGAACACTACGTGCACCAATGAGTGTTCTGGGAAGGGGTAGCAGATCTATGAGTCTGTTTAGAGAAATGCAACGTCAGGGTCTCTATCTGCGACCTCTAAGTTCTCAAATATCCCCAGCCGACGTTCCCGAAAATCTCATCGAACAATGTCAAATGGTTTTGCAGGTAACTAGGCACTTACGAGAACTTTTTCAACGAAAGCATATTGTTAATTGCTATTCGTGCTGTTAAATAGGGCAAATCAAGACAGTTGATCATACGAGAGCTACAACGCACTAACTTAGATGTCAATATGGCTGTCAACAACATGCTATCGCGTGAGGACGAGGCAGATTTTAACGGCGCTTCTGGAGCTGTTAACATTGGTGATGAGTGGGAAGATGATGCAGAGGATATTTTTTCCCTACTCGACCATCCTGAGGGTTTGCTCTTGGAAGGGGAAGGCGGTTTCCAGGAGGACATTATTGATCGATCCTCATCCCCGCGATTTAGAAGAGAAATTCTTATGGATTGTGGTAACGTGCAAGTTATGCCTCTTAATTATCCTTCACTAGATCGAACCCTTGGTGATCATGCCACCTACACTGATCGCCGAAAACGTAGGAGATTCGATACACCAGGACTCCTGCGGAATTCGGAGACTTACGGGGGTCGCACGGCAGAGTCTCGTCTATTTTTACGCAATATGGGACTTCCAGACGAAAAGGTAGTGTGTTTATTCCAATTATTTATACATAGGTTCTTCATCAGGAGGAAGAAAGTGGTTGTGAAACGGTATCAGGGTCCACAAAATGCGTTGAGAGCAACGTGCAGCTGGGTGATCACCTCGAGTTTTGGCCCACAAACTCGGCTGAATCAGTGGGCTCGCATTTTGTTAGTATTGCTGCTCTCTACACCGAACTCGTCGCAATTAACAGTCGTGGTGAACTCCACCAATGGAAATGGCAAAGTCCCGAACCCTTTAGCCCACATGTGCGTGACTGCCATCTACCATATGCGTTTTGCGCTTCTCTTTCATACCCAATGGTTACTCTTGCGCATTCACTTTTTTAGGGTATCAATTCACCTCCATTCAATCTGATAGAACAGCCAGAAACTGATGCATCACCAGTTAATCATCGCCATCCCCGCTCCACTAGTCTGGGCATCACCCATGAAAAGGTGGTTTCCCTCTCGGGATGCGTCACCCGTGCGTCGATTATGACAGCCTCTGGAGCTATCGCCACGTGGATGGATGAGATGCTACCCAGTCTCTTTCACTCTGCTGCTCCTGCATCTTCAGCTGCTGCCACCGGGGCAACTGCTGCTCTCATGCGTCTCGAGCATCCCGCGATACATTTCAATGAGCTGAAGGCGGAGGTTGTTATTCGTATCTCAACTGCACCGCTTATCACTGTGGTCCAGTGCGCTTCCGGCGCAGTTTTTTGGTGGGGTGTTCTGCCCTCCTACATTAGACAACGCAACGTGGAAAAACAGAGACACCCTGGTTCTGCATCAGCTGCTCCTACCACAACTACTTCAACAACATCCGCTTCTGCTAGTCGCCATCGAAGCACTAGTGGCAGCTCCGAAGCGGGCTCAAAAACGCCAGCTGCTGCCACCACTGTTAACACTTGCGCCCCACCTCTCAGTCCAGGCGATTTGGTGTGTATGAGGAACGCGCCGATGTTCCACGCCGGTGCAATTGGTTTCACATTGATCAACGGCGTACCAAAGGTGGGCGTATTGTTGGAGGATGCGTGGAAGCTGACGGACGTGTGTCGTTTCCGTGTGAAGTCGCCCTCAGCGCTGAGGAGTCAGACTGGCGTTGTAGTCATGGTGACGGGTGGTAGCACAGTTGCGGGGAAAAGCAGTTCGACGGAAGCGGTTCACGCTCTTACTTGTCCCTACGTTCAAGCCGCTGCTGCTGCTGCCGCGGCTGCTGCGCAAACTGACCACGAACCTCCACCGACCGACTCGGGTGCAATGGAGATGCCCCCACCTCCTTCACCCGCCTCATCTACGTGCTCAGATCACTCGGGTCCCGTGAAAGTCAGCCCGAGAGCTTTCAGTGAGTGATCACTTTTTGAAGTCGGATCCTTGAATATTCCAAGGCGTTAAAGAGTTGGGAGTTTTTGCTCTTTGATGAGACGCCGCCTTTCTATTCTTGAAACATTAGAAATTACATAGTGGTTCCTTGCTCTACTGAATGGTGTTTGTTATTCAGGAGAAGAAATTACTTATATTCGAAAGTTTCTTTAGTGCTTAATTTATCCAGATCTTAGTGATCGCCGAAATGGAGTCGTGGTTTTTTCATTTTAATGCATGATCACTTCGTAAGCAGACTCAGGATTTTGTCGTCCTCCCATGCGAGATAAGTAAACATGAGACCTTTTCCTATCATCCTCAATTCGGCTCAGTCCTTTAAATTTGTTTTCCATGTGGTGACTAACGATTTATGAACGTGCGAGTAGACCCTGAAAAGTTTTGGTTATTGAAAACGTTCTGAATATTGTTCTGCTGCGTTGTACTAAACGACAATTATTTTCAGTCACAGGGTATTGGCCTTACAACTTGTCCGATCGGAAAGTATTTATTTTTTTTTCATTGTTTAAGTTAGTTAGGCGAAGCTTATCGTATTTCTATTTTTCAAGGTCTTTTAAAGCTAGGGTTTTGAACATGGAAAAATCTATCTAGAGGTTCAATTTCTTTGTTGGAATTCAGAATTTGCGTTTGTTGGTGTTACTTCCAGTTCTCGGTTCCTCGATCTCAGCTGCCTTAATTGCTGCTGTCCCAGTTAACTAGCCTTCCCTCGAGATAAAAAGACAATTTTTCGATACTTCCGATAATTTCCTAGACTAGTCTATGTTTCTTTACTCCTTTGGTGTGTTACTTCTGCCGTTCATTAGTCATGTCCTATTATTTTAACCAAACTTGGTTTTTACCTTAAAATCGCCGTAAAATTCTTTTGGATTAATGCACTTAATGTTAGATTTGACTTCTGAGTAATTTGTCCACATCATTAAGTACCCTTTTTTCTACCGAATGCTATGCTTTTTGTGAGCAGCGCAGAAGAGTGTCACACCTTCTGTGAAATGTGCGATTCTCATGTTATTTTACTTAATTTAGTATTGTTTTGTGTTCAGCACTCTCTTTGGTGTTCGGTCTTATTAATTGTTGATCAGCCACATCAAAAATTAGTCGATTTTACACACCTTCAGTTGTCTTTCATCGAATATTGCTAGACTTTCTGTTCTCTTTTTTATTAGAAGCTAAAATCTTAATTATCTACAGATCAGGGAGGTCGCACATCTGGTTTATTGTAAATATAACCATTCCGAGACAATTTAATTCAACCAATTATCGTTCAGTGATAAAGATCACATGTCACATTTTTGTGATGCGCGAACTCAGATAGTGACTCAGTACCTCATTGAATTGTTTTTTTTGGCCCCCATAGAGCGCAAAAAAGCTCCAAGCACCTCAAGTGACGGTAGCGGGAACGGTGGCGGGGCAAGTGGAAGCAGTACTCGTCGTGGATCCGATCAGTTGGATCAACAACAGCAGCAGTTAACGAAACAAACTACCAAGCCAACCACATTGAAGCCGCAGCACGACGAAGAGATTGAAGATTGGTGTTTGAGCGAAGTGATCTTCGTGGAGGATGGTCGGACTCAACCGGTGGGTGTGCTGCTGAAAATCGACGGGACCATCGCCGCGGTGAAGTTCCTCAAGGAGCAGGATCGCGCCTGTCTGGCCGCTCGCTGTCCTTCTGCTCCCGTCTGTCTCTTCATCAATCATATCACAAAAACCGCTCATACTCTTCAGAAATCATTCGTTGCTCCTCCCACTACCTCTTCCCCTTCGCTTGTTGCTCCACATGATCCTATGGCCTGGCTAAACGTGAGCTGTCTTCCACTTTTCGCATTTTGGACTTTTTCCTCTAACCCAGATTATACCTTCTTAGGATTGCCGTTTGTTGAAAAAGGACGACTTGATGCAAGTGAAGCAGTCTGTAGGTGGGGGACTCTCCCAGCGCGTGCCAGACTTCGTTCAGGCGACACCGCGTCACATCTCGATGAACTTTCTTACCACTAAGTCAAATTCCATGCCCTCCAACATCTCTAAAAAGCGAATTTTTGCCCTAGCGCCGGAGAATTCGCGTCTCCATGCTATTGTCGGTCGAGTGGAAACAGAAATTGCGATCGGGAGTGGTGAGGATCAACGAATGCGACATTTAGAATACCATGTCTTCACACTGAATGGAAAGACCGTGTCGTCTCGACGATTGCCAGCTCTTTCCAAATCCACGGGTGCTCCGGATAACGCTATCGATACAGACGGAGCGAAGAGCTCCCTCTACTCTGACATTATGCTCACGTGTCCTGCTGAGGTTTGTCTTCGTTAATGTTTTTCGATCTGGACTAGGAGGAAACATTCTTTTTGAATCTAGCGCAATTTCGGCACCAAAGGGAATTGAGACGTATACGCGCTTTAACCCACCGATTAATAAGTAATTTTACAAGCCTGAGGCATCGAATCAGGTCACATAGCTTCCTATTACCAAATCTAACAATTAGGACTAATTTATCAATTGCCCTATAGGTTAAATCTGCTTGCAGTACATCTCACCTGTCTTCAATTTCAATGAGAAGTAGATTTCATATCGGGAAATGTGATTCATCCATCTCAGTGACTGAATTATTGACTGTCACTTCCAATGTTCCTGGATCACTTCATCTAGGTACCAGTTTGTGACACTTACTCCCGTTTCAAAAATGACACTTTGTTCTCACTTTCGCAGTATTTTTAGTATTTCTGGACGACCTAAAGTCCATTTGCTCATAATATCGCAGCTTAAACGCCTAGTCTATTTTAAAAGTAGAGGGAACTATGGAGCCCTATTTCCACTGCTATCTGTATGGAATGACTGCGACATTTTTTGCGTTCGGAGACACGTTCAAATAAGCAACAAACGAAAAAGAACTATGATTTTTTGAAGCAAAGAGTTCTTTAACAATATTGTATTACCATAATCTCTTATTTCAGCGCCCCTTGTTGTTGCGCGACTCTGCAGGGGTAGTGTTCCCTTTTCTACCACCCTCACGTCCTGGTCAGGAGTCCTGGGTGTTTCCTCCATGGCTAGACCTGCCTGCGGTACAGTGCGCCGCCCTTTCCTGGATTAGCGCCTCCCCGCCACGCACCACACCTGCCACCACTCTCACTCCTGCTTCCCAACGCGACACTGAGACGACCACCACGTCTTCTACATCTAGGGCAAGCGGTGAAAACAGCAAGAAATTGACCTTAGCTTCTGCTGCTGCTAGAGATCTTCAGGGCGACCCACGCCTCCTACTGGGTGTGGTGGTTGTCAGAGAGACTAGTCTTTTGCAGCACATCCTGCGTGCTGATGAGGCAAAGGTGGAGGAAGCGGTAAATCGAGAGTTTGAAATGTCCCTTTTATACCTGCGTCCTTTGCACCACGCCTAGAAACTATTTTCCATTTGATCTGCTATTAGTGCCTTCCCTTGAACTAGTTCGTAGCTTGCCTGTATGTATGGAGAACTTAAACCACATTTTATCGAATATTCAGCTTCGACTGTTGAGCACGGCACCACCTAGTCGAGTGGAGTTAGTGGCAAGCGAGATGGCTGACGGTCATCGAACTATCCTTCATGTGGCCGTATTAATGTGTGCTCCGATGGCTCGTGAGACACCCGAGATGGCCGAGCACTTAGAAAACATCCTCAAGCGCACGGGCAGTGGCAGCAGCGGTTCCACATCTGCCCCACCACCGCAGCCCCCACCCCCACCCTCCGACGGCAGTGGGTGGACCACCATTTCGCCCTCCCCGCCTCCGCCACCCCCTCCGCCCCTTCCAAGGTCACTGCACTCCCTTCTAAATCTGTGAGCCAGTTGGTTGATTTTCAACGCTCTGTCATTCTTCTCTACCCAACTTATTTTCTGATCAGAAGCTCAAGTGTTAAAGATTTTGAAGAGTTCAGTTAAGGTCCATAATTTTCACACCTCTGCTACCGATCATGCCGATTTGAAACAAATCTCTCAAATGGTTTTCTTGAGATAATTTTGCTTCCTAACCAATATGATGTCCCAATTCGAGTTTTCTTATGTTTGATTCCATGGCAGACCTTTGAGTTTCACTATTGTGCTCCTCCTATTACATCCAAGTCTATTTTGTTTTCAAATACCTTTTTAAGTCGTTCAATAATACTTCTGTGATCAGAAAGACAAAAGCCCAAACTGGTTGTCGTGAATTTGAGTCTTTCAAAGTTGAAACAGCGTTTTTATCTTTTTGTCTCAGACAGAGGGCATACGTGGTCCCTTTCACTTATAATTACAGACGTTAAATAACGTCAGAATGATTTGTTTTCATCCTTACTTTCTCGTATTTATTTGTGTTATCCATATGCAAATAATGGTGTTACACTGTCAACATCACCCATGGTAGAGACTGATGCATTTGTCACGCTAATTATGTTTTCTTTGTAATTTACTCCTCACATCGTTATTCCACCAGTGTAACGGAGCTATTGTTGCAATCAAACGTCTGGATTTCATTGGATTACTCGAAAATATCTACTTTGTAGTTACAATTCCTGCGTTTCCATAGAAGTTTAACGCATCGGCACAAACGTTTCAGCGCCTTAACTGAGGAAGCCAGTGTAATTTATAATACCATTTTTTACTCGATCTTTTCCTTTAAAATACTTTTATGTAATAAGCTTTTGTTCCCCTTCTTGATAATGGGTATTGCAACTGTGCAATGGTAGGCTCATCTTCAATTCGTCGATTTTTTCAAGCTTAACGAGTAATATTAACTTTCCACAGCTACCCACACTTGCCCTTAGTGGAAGTAGAGCATTTGGATGAAAATTCAATGAATCTTTTGTTCTGTTGGCAGAAGCGCTTCTAGCAACCAGCGCTTGTCAAACGCTGGGGCGGCGTCAAGCGCCGCCACCGCCTCCTCCTCCACCTCTTCGGTCCACGACCTCTTCATTCGCTCGCCTCTGGAGGCGGCGGCAGCAAGTGTTGTGGAAGCAGCGGCTGCGGTATCAGTGGCCGTAGCCTCCTCCTCATCCACGTCATCTGGTGGCCACTTCTGTCACATGGCCCCTCTGCCGGCGACAGAGGAGGCGTCGCGTCGAGTCGCCTCGCATCGAATCCTTCGCGCTCTCATCCTCCATCCCCGACTGCGCACCCTTCTGCCGCATCTCCTTTCATGCCTTTCAGACGACGGACTGACGCCATTCATGCTGGCTATCCAATGCAAGGCTTACCAAGTGGCTGTGTTTCTGCTAGACTTTCTTGCTGTAAGATAGCATCTCGTCCTTTATCCGTAGAGCTATCAAATAATAATCATCAGACATTGTAAACTCCACCATCTTGACGATTTTCATTTACTGGCGACATGCTGAATTGTAGACGCTATTATGTCTCCTTTCTGCATACTGATCTCGATTAACGACCGATATTAGATTTTCTTGGGGCTTCTCTTGGGCTCTGACAAGCCTACCTTTTCGCATGGCAGCTTTGATATCTATTATGCTCAAACCTTACTTTTGAACCGTTGTGTACCTCATTCATTGGGGCGGTTTTTGTTAGATATTTCCTCCAGGTTTTTTGGATAGGGACCAGCTGTCAAATTTACTTTGACCACGTCCGATGGCTGCCAAATAGCCTTTGCATTAGTGATGCTGATGGTTTCTGTGAATTTATTATGCCATTGCTCGCTTTTGCCTCTTTCCCTTCTTGCCCAATTAGCAGCACGCCATCGCCGAGAGCCGTGTAGCATTGATCTCCATCGGATTTGTGAAAACCAATTCTGGTGGTGGATGAATCTTCGCTTATTGCTACACTTTTAACCATTCATCTCTTTACAGATCATCTGTAGACTGCTGTGCTTGGTTCCGCGTCAAATTCTGGCAGAAACAGATTTGGCTATCCATAGTTATCAGTGCATTCCTTTTGTAACAGAATAGTAGCTTTGGTCAGGAATCATTATTGACATTCCTTGATGTAAGCATTTAATTTGGTCTACTTTTTCCTACTTTGCGAATTAAGCCTCAGCATTGATTTTACCGCCGCTGTCAGATGGATTATGGGCACGTTGGTCTCATCATTTCAGCAATTTGACTATTTTTAAAGTAGGAGATATTGGACCAAAAAACAAAACGATATTTTTTTCTTTAAATCGTACCATTTAGTGCTGGCGACTAGCCTTCCCTATTGTTGCCATCAGATATGCGAAAAGTAAACTTAGTGATTAGTAGGTCTTTAATAGTAGTAGTTTAATGTTTCCTGTTGTGAACTGGAGTTAATTTGTGTGAGTACGGACCCTGTCGAAATCCCAGCCGAAGATAAGACTTTGAGAAAAAACAAGGTCTTTGATGCTAATAATTGCGAGTTTACAAGGGGTAGAACGGTTATGTTTCCCTATTTATCAGCCCTACTAATCCAAATCCACTGATTAATTAGGTATCCTTTAAAAACCAAACTTGGTAAATCTGTAACAGCCTTGTATTTCTACAGGTATTTAGTTCTATTCCATGTTCAAATTCCGGCCGGAAAAGCCATTATATTCCTTCAGTGGTGACTAGAGTAGTTCGGAATAAGCCCGATTATTTACAAATTGTAACAAGTCTTAGTCCTAGTTCCAGTTGAACGCAGGGTTGTCTGGCACTTGATTAGCTTCGACTGTTTCTCGATGCTTTCAAAAGTGGATAGAACAATCGTGATTGTTCTTCAATGATGCCTTGTGGTATTTAAAATAAGTCACGACAGGATTATGCTATTAGAACAAAGTTGACACCGACGAATTTCAGCCATAGAATTTTTGTTACTGGGTGAGTTTCTTCTGCTTTACTTCAGGAATTAGAGGGCATTCGTTCGGACGGTAGCGAGGAGTCCGCACATCAATTCCGCTACTCCCGTCTCATGCGCTATCTCTTCCCACCCTCTGCACGTCTTGACGACTCACCTCTCTTCACCCTCTGCTACAACGACACCTGCAGTTTCACCTGGACCGGGCCTAACCATATCCGTCAGGACATTTTCGAGTGCCGCACCTGTGGTCTCATGGATTCTCTTTGCTGTTGTTCAGAGTGCGCACGTGTCTGCCACAAGGGGCACGACTGTCGCCTTAAGCGCACCTCTCCCACAGCCTACTGTGATTGCTGGGAGAAGTGTCGCTGTCGCAGCCTCGTACTCGGTCACCAGGCCTCTCGACTCTTCCTCTTCCAACGCCTTCTACTTCACACTGACCTCGTGTACTTGCCCAACCGGGCAAATGAACACCTTCTGGTCTACCTCACTCGTTGTGTTGAGCGTCAGACACGAGAACAAAAGCAATACAAATCGGCACGAAGACGTGGGGGCAGTGGTAGTGGTGGCGGCAACGGAGGTGGCGGAAGTGGAGGTGGTGGCGGAGAACGTGGAACTCTCGCTGGTGCTCGTGCAAGCGGCTCCACTTTGGACGAACCGGAGCACGATCTTGAACCACCGACCTTCTCAAGAGATGCTCTTGAGCTGGTGCTTGATTCGAAAGCAGCGGCTGCCAGTCTGCTATGTGATTGTAAAAATGTCGTCGCGACGGAGTCCTTTGCCAAGTTTGGGGACAGAAAAGGCAAATCTGGAGCTTGTGTAAGTATTTTTGTAACATGGAAATTCCTCTACTTTCCCCTACTTAATTTAACATCTCTCTCAAATGCTGTTCTTTCCGATATCGTTTAGTCTGCCGTCATCATCAATGTACGATCCAAACACCTGTTCAATGCATCTGAACCGGAAAAGGTCTTTATTTTAGGATGAAAGTATTTCCTTTTGTTTAAAATAATTAAGGTGCAAGGCTGAATGAGCAGAAGCGTTAAAAAGCGTTATTTGCTGAGGTAGTTTGCTGTTCGTCTTGTTATATTTGTCAATGCATCTCATCAGAACTTGGCATTTAGCGTCCTGCTGGATCCGGGTGTGCATGTAATCAGGTTTACCATGCGTTAGACAACCTTTGATTTCATTTGACGCGGGCACTACCTTTGCCACAAGTACATAGCTCGATGACTCAACCTGGCTGTTATTATCTAAAACCAGTGGGAAGTTTAAAATAATTCATATTTTTTTTTATTAATTCACTTCTCATAGCGTTGAGGTCACAACACTGGTAAGAAACGCCGTTATGAGTTTTCTGTACTTATGTTCGATAAGTCCTGTACTGAAGGCTTCTCTTCCCCATTACGGTTTGCATTTAGTGGAAGGTTTTTTTATTTTGGATAATTTCAGCATAGCTGTATTTTCAGTTGAAATAGTGAAGTTGGGAGCAGTAGTGGCTAGTTTTACGAGCGACAAGTAAACTCTGTTTTACCAGCCTATCGTTTTCATCGTTTAGCACAGGGGTCGTTACCCTAGCATGGAGGTAGCACAATAAGTGACTGACAGGTAAGAATAAACGGAGCTTGTACGCTTTCTTTCAACGTTTCCTACATTTTTTCAGAAATACTAAGAAAATCAGATCAGGTATGTAGAACAGGGTTGATAGGATTCCCCTTTTATTTGACAATATCACGCTTCTGAACGAATTCGGATTTGAGCCATTCCTGGTAGTAGTTTGTTTGGCGCGTCTAGCAGTTGTCTGTACTTCCTCCTGCGTTTAGCAATCCGTGATGGCAATCCAATCGGGTACCTCTCAGCTTGACGATTTCGTCTTTACCCTCCTCTGCAAGTGTCCGGCGGAGTTTGTGCAGCGCTTCATCAACACTCTGGCGCGTAGTCTTTCCGATCACCTCTCCGGTGATCGCGGTGTCCACCGTCTCCTCACCCTCTCCCTTCCCTCTGTCACCGGCTCTAGCGCCGAAAGTACCGATGCCTACTTCTATTGCCAGCGCGGCATCGCACGATTTGTGCGCTCTGTGGCCCGTGTCTACACTGGTCTTATGCTCGAACTCAGCCCCGATCACCACAGAAAGAAACCGTGAGTAATTTCTGTCGCCTATTCTCCTGCCAAACTGTTTGTTAAACTGGGTCACATGAAGATCTTTTTCCGATGGATTCGCAAAAGTAACACTGTTTATTTAACAATGAATAAGTGAAAGCACGAGTCTGTAAAGCACTTCTTTAATCTTTGAAAATAAATCGTAATTCAGGAATTGAAACTGCCTAACGTTTTAACCTGATCTACAGAATCAACTAATGGTGCCATAATGTGATGAATCTAACGGTCCCAGCGTTGTCCTGCATATGTGAGGTTTAGCTAATCCATGCTTCTTACACCCATTTTGATAAGTTAACCTCAGACGAAGTACTTTATTACGTTGTTTCAGGCGATTGGTGACACAAGCACAGCCGCTTGAACTGGCACGTTTTGTCTTCTTTCAACTGGCACCTGTCGCACTCCCCGAGCTCGCTTTCCTCGCGGTAAAGGTCATTGCACCAGTGCGCATCGGTGCGCTCCGCTCTACCGCAACCTTCAATCTCACCTCCCAGCAGGGTGAAGCCATTCATGTAAGCTTACGGCCTATCGTTTTCGTTGATGTAGCGATTAAATGTCATGACAGATCAGATTTAAAGTTCTAATGTTCTCTTCAAACGTGGCGTTGCACTTGCGTGGAGGCTTGCTATAGTTTCCCGACTGATGCGCAGTTCTGCTGGAGATTGTTATGTTGATTTCAGTCCCGATTGTGGGTACGAATACATCTTAAGAACCGGAATTTTGTCCTTCAATATTGCATGATTCTTTCGATTTGAGCAGGAGTGCCTAGAACTACATAAAATTCTCCTTTTTCCAACTTCCTAGACCCTTTTTTCTCTATGACTAATTTCCCAGTGCCTCGGAATTTGCGCCCGTTCTATTCCCCCGATTGGTCATTATCACATACAGTTGTCTTAGCTATCACCATGACCCCAAGACCAAAGTATTATAAGGACTCGAGAATGGAACTCTCCTGGGACTCCGGTAGTCAGTCGACAACCTTGTGCGCATACACCGTACTCCAAGCTTACTCATGCAGGTCGGTGATAGACAGCCACTTTGATTGTTTGGGTTGAGGTCTCGATAGTGCCTATGCTCACAAATAAACGCCAAGTCCTAACATTTTCTCGGCAGTGTTGGGAGGATATGGTCTTTACTTCACACTTGATTTGGCTGCATCGTGTACTAGAGGCTTTTCGCACTATCGTCAGCTTGGCGAATATTTCCGTTCTCACTAACCAGCAATTTTTTCACTACGAAGATAGCATTCTAGAAAGTTGTCTGGATGCCTTTTGTGTGATTTTGTTGGCGAATGTGGTAATTGTGTTAATTTGGAAGTCCTGACTTTGCAGTTAGGTTAACCGATGCATTTCTGATTCTTTTATCTGATGCAGATTACAGGCCAGCCAATGAGGGAAATGGTTTATGTCAGACAGCACAGAAATACAATAAATTGTATGGAAGTGTCGGACTACGCATGATATTTTAACCTTAAAAACCCTAGTTGCACAGTTTTACAATGTGTGCCAATCATTTGTATCAAATAGTTATGACTGATCACTTTGATAACTGGCCCATCCACTCAGGGGCATCTTGTTAAAGACTGCCGTAGTGGCATCCGCCTTAATTTGAGGCTCTGGTACAATCGACTTGGCTTCACTTCATCAACACACTCATTCAAATATGCCAACGATTGTTTCCCCTATATGGTATCATTGAGCGTCAAATTTCCACCATTGTTCTTTGGAATGATCCAGTAGACATGTTTCTGTCATGACCTTACGTAGTTAGGTTAATGACAAAATCGTTTCCCGTATGGCTTTCAGCTTGGGCAGCCTTAGGTGACAAATTACGTGAATGATTTATTTTCCCGTCGCAGGAATTTTTTCTCACGTAGACTACCCTTGGATTTTCACACTTAGTGGCATGGGTTAAGCTCCAAGCTTACGTGTAACGTAGTTGTGGGTGAAATTTTATTCACCCTTACTCTGCGATTTTGCTGGATATTAAATTAATCCGTTCATTGCGTATTTTGTGGTATTAACTTTGTTCTGTTAGCCATGTTCTTTTGTTATGTTGTAGCATTTTTTTACCAATATTGGCAATAAATTAATTTGTTGCATCAAGAGCTTTCCCTACACTCTCAGGTAGGTTTACATCTCTTTCCACAAGCATTTTAATGCGGATCTTAATTTTCTGGAATTGGGGATTTCATTCCATTATAGTTGCTTGGTGGATGACCCCAGTCTAAAGAAGTTTAATCAAAGTGATGTCAAACAATGTTTACCCCTTTCATGTAATGTGTATCTTAAGGTTCCTTTCAAATTTAGTCCATTGGGACCTCATGAGTTGAGAATGGCTTTTGGCCAAGCTGAACTTCCCCTTGTCTTCACATCGGTTTCATCCTCGTGGCACATACTAATCAAGGGTTTGGCTTTCACCTTTTTGACCTCTCTAAATAAACTAAAATAACACGTTTATTTGTCATGAAACTGTTGTCACCAAATTTCAGCTAGACAGCCAAGTAAGTTCGTGCAATTTCGATGATCGCAGAAGGTGTTTTAGAGTACAATATTTACACGATGAGTTAGTCACCAGTATAATATGTAATCCCTTCTTAAGGGGACACAGACTTGAAGAAATGTAAGGGGGATGCGTAGGTCTAGGTGAGGCACCATCTCTTTCCATTTCTAAGTTGTGTCGTGAAGTCTTCTCATAAACGAGTTTTCCAGCAGTGTGAAGCCTTGCATTGTCTTGCAGTACTAATAACGTAACTTCTTTGACTCATCGATTAGTCGGAAATAGGAGTTCGTGGACGCTTTCAAGTTGTATTGTGTTGTATCGCGTAGGCAGATCTCAGCTGGACCTGAAGTGACATAGTGAGTGGGTCGTTTGGGCACAGCTAATGATATATTTGTTCGCTTGATGCTGAAAATCAAAAACGGTGGCACATTGTTGTGCGATAAAAGAGGTAAAGGATGTGTTGATAGTTTGTGAAGTTTACTGTCATCTGTTAGTTCTTGTTGGTGGGACTCATTGGCTTGGGTTGAGATTGTTTGTGTTAAAAGCTATGAAAGGACTTTGGTACATTAACTCACAACTCCTTCGAGTAGAAATGGTACTCTAATTTTAGTCATTATCAAGACTATATGGTCTTCTTGAGGGCGATAATCGTCGTCTGGAGATTGACCACTAGAATCAGGACGTTAAAGCCATTTCTGGCCATTACGTTTTACCACTACACCTCCTCCGGCTGGTATACAAATATTATGGGAGGCTTATGATGCTCTGGACTCCAGTTTTAGTTCATAAACTCGAGAAGCTCGAATCGCACCGATTAAACTCAATGATATTTTATGGCACGAGGATTTAAAACACCATGAAATTAGAAAAGAACACAATAAAGAGTACTGATAGACTGCCACATCCCATAGCGGTGAGCTCTACCAAAAACTGGGCGAGCTTTTTGGACACTTGATATAATATCAATGGTAGTCCATACCTGTACCTTAACCATATCCGCGGGCTAGCAAACATCTGTAGGCTCTACTTGTCAGTAAAACATTACTGAACGAAATATCTTGAATGGTCCACCTATTCAGTGTTAGGGTTCCTTTTGTATAATTGGTAGATGACATTCTTCCTACATCCATAGGTTATTCGCGTTTCTGTGCATTGTGTTGAATGACGGTTGGTTTTTCATTATCTCCCAGGGTTTCGACCAAGTTCTGGCTGCGGAGAGATCCTTGTTCTCTCGATCGCGCCAGTCGCAATCTTCTACATGCGCATCTTCCGTCAATGGTTTTTTTGGTCTGGGAAATGCTCTTGACTGCCCCAATTCCACGATTCGTAGTTTGCTCTACGGTTGTGGTTCAACAGGCTCTGCTGCCTCCACACTGCTGCCCACTTGGAAGGTCAGTGAGCGTCGGCATCCGCCGGCTTCACCACCCAAGACTGAACAGCAACAGCGGAAGCCACTGCAATCATCTGAACGTGGCAAGTCGTGTGTCAGTACCGATATCATTCCATACAGTGTGGAAGAACCTATGGTGGGTTGCACATCATTTTTTCCATCTTGCAGAGGAATAGTTCTGTGTAAAACTATTCCTTTTAGAACTACCTGGTCTGGGAAGTAGTAAATTTGTTGTTCTGGGCTGATGAATTTCATCTGCTTGCATTCGAAATCGCCATCATGTGTCGTTTCCAACGCTGTCATACAGTGTTGAGCGGCTGTTTCATGCGTGCGATTTGGATGTCTTTTCATTTGACTATTCAGAGAAGATAATTAATTTACTATCTAAAAACGAACTCTGTTAAAAATTCTTGAGCTGATTTCTTTGCATTCTTCAACCCGGGACCGGTTTATTTGTGAAACGCCAAATCTAATTTTAAGTTTGATATATCGACTGATTATTCCCTCTATTAAAACTTAGCAATTTATCCTGCGGTAGGACATTGATAGCACCAGTCAAGAGCCAGCTCCGGGTTCATCAAACCATATGAAACGCCACCGCCACCGCAGCCAGAGCAGCGGGGGCGGCGGGGATCATCAAAGTCCCCCTTCAAAGCACCGTCGTCGGCATCGCCATCATGGCAGACGCCATCGTAATCACGACACCATTGATCCGGCATCACAACCGCCACAGCCACCCGTCATTGTGGTTGAGTCCTCCGTAGCGACCACGAATTCCACCACTTCCACGAATCCCTTCGCAGAGATGGAACTTCTCCCAGCTGCCAGTGGTGACTCGGATACGGATGCGGATATTCGAAGCAATGAGTTGGACAGCAATGCTACCACTGCTGCCGCTGCTTCCACCCACACCGTGGAGGAGGGAGAAGAAGATTTTAGTGATACGGCATCAGAAGAGGACGAGGACGTAGCAGCAGACTCTGAAGTGGAAACGCATTCCATCACAAGCAGTACCGGTGGTGGTGGTGGTGGTGGTGGCGGAGATGGAGGTGGTGTTGAGAGATCTCTACTACTTCATCAGAATCCACAGATTGAGGCTTCGGGATCGCAACACAGTTCTATAAGCAGTACGGCAGCCACTGCGGGTACCACAGGAAGTGTGATTATGGACATGGACGCTTCTGTTGCTGGCGGTAGCCTAGGCACTGTCTCAGGAGCCGTGGGGTCAGCATCTTCCCAGCAGGAATTTATCGCTTCCTATCCACCTGAGCGAGATCAACAGCCACCACCGGGAGGCAACAACACAATGGATGATGATACTGTAGTTGTTACTATGTTCTGTGGCAGTGATGAGGAAGAGGAGGAAGAAGAAGGTGATGAAAACGAATTAGATGAAACCCTTCCAATATCGGAGATGGGTCTGGAGGAGGATTTGGATCATGGCACCCGTCGGCGTAATCAGCGTGATGATGTTAGTGAAGTAGAGGATGACGACGAAGATGATGAGGATGAAGAAATTGAGGATGATGAAGAGGTCGGTGTTGAGGAGGAAGAGGAGGAAGAAGATGATTCTGAAGATGATGGGGGTGAGTCAGAGGACGATGAAGATGACGATGTTGGGGAGGAAGAAGAGGAAGAAGACGACGATGAAACTGAAGAAGAGGAAGAAGTTGCACACGAACACGGCGCAGAAGGGGAGGAAGAAGAGGAGGAAGAGGACGCTTACTCCCAAGAAAGCGAGCCAGTAATTAGAATCTCCTTTTTCCTCTTTCTAGGTTGTCTTCAGTTTCACTCCACTTTTGCCTCTTGTCTAGAGTCCACCTCCGTCTTCCCCATTTTCACCATGGTCGCGTCATCCAAGTGGTTCGTCGAATGCTCCAGCTCCCACGACTTCTGCGGAGGATGCTGCGCCGACTACCTCGACGTCCACCACTGCGACTACTGCAGCTTCCCGAAATTTCCCCACCTCTTCATCCACTCTGGCGCGTCTTTACTCTGCAGCCCTCTCTTCAGCCTTTGACCAACGTAAGTCGTTGGATGATTCTCCTCTTTTTCATTCACTGATTGCCCACTTTCACTGATTACGTCGCCCCAGGTACTGGACACAACACTTCACTCGCTTCACGCAATGCTCTGGCTAGGTTGAACCTTCTTACCGCTCCCCTATCACCACCTAGAACAAACTCCAACAACGCGAACACTGGTTCACCCACCGTCACCACAAACGTCCTCAGCGGAGTTACTCCGACTGTTAGCAGTGCACCCATCGTCAGCATTACCGAACCCGCCTCTAATAATGACACCTCTGAAGCGAAGAAAGTGGGTCTCTATCTCTACCGTCTCCACTACTGGGAAAAGTCCATCACACTAAAAACATCTTTTTAGCATGGGATCCATGTAACGCAAGTTCAACTAAGTCGTGCTTTTGCCTGCCTCCTTCGACTTCTCGCTGACGTAATGGCAGATCTCGTCAACCGCGGTAACGAAGGCGTGGACACAGAAGAAGGAATCGGGGAAACCGAGGGGTCAGCTACCACCGGGTCTCACACGGGCAACAGCGATATGCGACGATGTGTCTCCGCACCCGTGTTCGTGCACTCCTCACTCGATTTGCCGCTACTGCGTAAACTGCGTGTCCTCTCGCGCAAGGGCAATGGCTACTGCCTCGCACCGCTGCGCTCTCTTGTGGCCGCACGGCCTACTGACAGTATGGATCAAGCTCTCATCTGCACTGCAGTGGGTTTCGTGTTGGCGCCGGTGTGGGCTTGGCTCACTGAGGCTCTTGATGGTTTAGAGTCGCGTCTTCGTGCTAGAGCTGCGTGGAACGCTCAGCATCCGAACGCCGGCTCAGTTGAAGTCTCTGCCTTGGATTCAGGTATGCCTTTTCTTTTAAAGAGCGGTAGTGATCTACAATTGCTTTAACGGAAACTAACAATCAGTTTTTTGGGTTAAAACCTTCAATGGTGTATTTGAAGAGAAAGAGCGATGGGATTTGATGCTGACTTTTGGTTTTCACTATTAGTTGAATCATTTTGTTTGTTTTTCCCGATTTAGGCGTTAAACAGATAGCACAACTTTTTAATGCCCCTAAACTGGTGAACTTGATCTTGGCTCGTCCGATCAGTCATTTTTGTTGCTGTTGAATAGGTTAAAAACTCCATTTCCGTCATATTTAATAATTCGACTAATGGGTTTGATGAAATGCTTTTTGTGCATGCGTAATTCCGTATTGGGAGTAGTCTACTTTACCAATGATTTTTTAATTTTCAAAGTTTACTAAGTCAGTCTGGATGCGTCTTTCCCAACCAGAAGCAAGAAGCGTTCACAGTAGATGACATAGTTGAAGAGGGATTGAAGGTTTTTGCCTTCTTAATTCCTAACTGTTTGTTAATCTTGCAAGAATGACTTGAGTGGTTATCCTCTGCTATATTTAAATTCTTTGGTCATTGTTGAGGGCGACTTTAATGCCCAATTGTTTCTATCTTCAGGAACTTCTGGCCGTCGGAAAGAAGGCAAATCAGATCGAGTGAGTTAGTGGTTACATTGAAATCAACTGTTGAATATTTCTTGTCCCTGCATTTTCGTGATATCGAAGTAGCTTGGTGATAGCAAATTAGTTGACTTATTCATAGCCTTGGATATCATTGCTAAAGCTATGTCTTACATTAATGCGGGTTTTTGAGTGTGTATCCATGGAGTGGTATCCAAGTTTAAGTAAGCTAGATTGAATCTTCTTCCTTAATATTTTTAAGACTGGAAGTGGCGGCAGATCGAGTTCTCAGCATCAGCAATCTGCCGCAGAGAACACGGCCTCTAACGCAGTTGGATCAAGTTCCAACGCAACAGGAGGTGCAGGAACATCAGCGGGTACAGGGCACACCGCCACCACTGGTGCCGTCACTACAGGCGGCGGTGAAGTGGGCACAGGTGGGGGCGGAAGTGGAGGCAGGAATTCTTCAAATCGTCAACAACTCCTTAGCTACCTGCTCTCGTTGATGCGCACAGCCAATAACGATCACGGTGTGGTCGTTCCACCCGTTGATGTCTACAGTTACAAGCACACCGCCTACCTCGTCGACTCCTTTCTTTACTTTTTTAAGGTACCGCTTACCCTTAGCCAAAACCTGATGTACATTGCAATGTTTGGGGGTACTTTTCAGGTGGCACGCAAGTAAATTAAACTAATTACATGTGTTGAAACCGTTTTTTGTTTATCGCCTGAGTAAATGCTTTCGAGAGAGCCATTGGGCGCCAAAGATGTAGAAGTATCCACCGCATTTTTTAGGTAGAGTTATTGGCAGCCGAAGCATTCAGGTCAGCTTATTAAATATGCTTGAGTCAAATGAAACGGACATTTGCCTAGAAATCTGGCAGTTCGAAGGTGATGTTCCTTCTTGCTGATGCTTTATATATGGCGTCGATTTGTGCATTCAGTAACTGTTTACCTGTACCTGTCCTCCGCTTAAAAATTGGGGTTTCACCAATGTGCCATGAATTTGTGATAGGGGTAGGATAGTAAGATAATGTTTGAATATCCACCCTGACTTGAATGTCCTTGCCTATTTCTAGTTGGCTACAGTTACTTATGCAAAAATTTAATATTTACAAGTTGGAGCAATATGTTACCGGAGTTTCCTATTTCTGCTCATAAAACTCAATTAATGCGTTTTACCGGTAGTTTTTTTCGACATTTCTTCGTCATTGATACTTATTTTCCGTTGGGTTGGGTGCTTGGTAAAATTGCAAACTAATTTGCATCGAGTTTACGGACCTCGGTGTTTCTGAAAACTTTGTGAGGCATCGAAATTCATTCGGTACCATTTCATCGGGGAGAAGCTCCTAAATCTTTCAAAAATTGTTTTGATGCAAATATTGAAATTCTGAATGCATACCTCCTGAAGTCCTTGGCTTGGTCGAATTCCATTTCACAGAACATCACTAGAAATAAACATTTTAAATTTGAAGCGTGAAGTACGTCCCATCTTCATTATTTGAAATAGTTGTTATGAAATGGATCCTAATTTTTGTTTTAGAGGTGGAAATTCTGAGGCTTGAAATAGTGATTTTTAAAAAAAATGCATTTATAATGAAGCGGCTTAACAATGTTTTTGCAAATAAAATCCCACAAGTGACACTATTTATCGGCCCATTTCTGCGACTGATTTTACCCGAGTTGATCTTTTTAAGGGTAAATTTGCTGATATACCAGGAAACAAGCGCCGGAAATCTCACTAACTTTTATCCTCTCAAGGTCTTCGAAAGCACATGGCCCTCGGGCCTGATGCACCATCTGATCCACCTTAATGATTTCGACGCTAACGCGAAGGAACGTATGGAGGTGGGAGAGGAGGGAGAAGAGGAACCGGGCCCAAATGTACCCGTGGCAGCAGCCGGATTAACAGGCGGACCCAGTGATACCGATAATGTGGTGGGTCTTTTCCAAGGTCATCCGTTGGCCCAGTGCTCTGACGCCTTCTTCCGCCGCTCCGCCAGCACTCTCTCCCTCGTTGGCGTGGGTGTTGACCCTGTTCTTGCTCCTGCCTCCGAGGCGATGCCACTCGCTTTCACACCGCAACAGCTCCATCCCAATTCTCGACGCTCTGAACTCTTCGGTACTGTCAGGTGAGTTCTCTTTTCGTCCTAGTACAATGCATCCCGCTTTATTACTTTACTACTGTCGTAGAAAGTGTTTTTATTCATGAATATCTCTTGTGATATTAGTACTGTTAATCTTCCAGTAAATTTGATCTTCATTATTCTTTGCATATGAATTAGAATTCCTTCGAAGTCGTCTTTTTTTCCCGTCTCTTGTGCCCATAATCAGCTGTAGTCCCCACAGTATCAGGGCGTCTAATCTTGTGGTGATGGTAGTGGCATTGGTGACGGTTTTCTGGTTGTTATGAATCAACCCTTTATTGAATTCATTTCCATTTTGCCCTTAATTGATACCTAGTGGGTTATGTGCTTACGATTTTCGATCCTTCTTGATCATAATGGGAAACATTGCAAAGAAACGAATCAACCTTTGTTCGCCGTGGTGTTCTACGGATCTTGATTATTTTTGAGTCCAGCGGGTAGACTATTTTAGTTTTTCTGTACATAGGCCATCATAAGCAAGGTGGTTATCCATTCAGTACTGTATTTTTCCTCCACTTTTTAGCTTTTGATTCACCTGATTCCCTGTTTTTCTCACTTTTTCTGCCAATAGAGGTCTCGATTCTGACTTCCTTTCCTCCTCCGCCTGCCCCGAGGACAAAGTCAGCTGTCATGAGAACGAGGCGGATGTCAAGGCCCTGCACTATAGTCGGATCGGGAGGTCTTTCAAGGACTCGAAAATGGGCACTCAAAGTGAGTAATAAGCACACTAATTTCTGGTTGTTTGTTCCAGTGTACTTTGTTGACTCTCAGGAGAACCTAATTACTCCCTTCACCTTTGACACTACCTCATTTTAAGAGGAAAAACAAGTTAACATGAATGCTTTTGGCCGGTGTGGTTGTTTTTTTTCTGTCTAATCTACTTTTCGGAACCAAGTTTTTCCTACTTCCTACCCTTTGTATTCCAAGGCGAGCATATCAGTATGGGAGTTTTAGTGCTGGGGCGTTTTGTTTGGCTGGTGATTATAGAGAAGTTGAGTGTTTTAGTTGAACTTGTTTGAAAGTACTTGCAAAATTCCCTTACATTTTCGTCGCTCATTTTACTGGCGTAGAATTGAAGCAGCATTCTATTACTATATTATTGCAAATACTCGACGATAGGAGCTTTTTCTTTTATTCAATCCTGTCTTTACGAAGTTTATGCCGAGAGTAAACTTAAACACTACACGGTTACCGACAGAGCATTAACTCAAGCGTGCTTCTTACAGTTGAATTTGTTGACAGTTCTTTTATTTTTAACGCTAATGCCTATTAATTGTTAGCAAAAAACTTCTCTTAGTTCTTTTTTCTATTAACAAAGTAATTATTGGGTGTTTTCGATGATGTACTACTTATCCAAGTATCGCGCAGCTTCTCGGAGGAAATTTCGCAGCATATAGTAGACATTTTGTGACTTGAATGTGACGAACTAAAGCTAAGTCTTAAATAATTTTGACATAGAAAGTTGACATCCAAAACAATCATCGATGATAATGACTTGCCACATTAATTGGTTTGCGGTAAGATCTTGTTCGAAATGTAGTAACTTTTTAGCCACCTTTTTACCGCCCCCATCTTTTAAAATGGATTTTGTTACCGAATCAAGATGTTCATGGGTTTGATTTTGGCTACACGCTCCTGATGAATGGGACGACATAATGCTTTTAAACCTAAGATTCCTTTTCTTCTTCTGCTTCCACTTCAATCTCTTAAACTGCTAGTATCTCCTCACTGTTTCTTACGAAAGCACAACTGATGGTGCACTCTGTCCTTGGGAAGTAGACTGAGTTCCTGTATGTATTATTTTTACTGAATAGTCCAAACCGCATTTTGTTTTTTTTCATTCAAACGGTCACCATTGTGTAATGAGCTTATTTAAACTTTCTCATTTCATTGATTCTGTGGCCCATCAGAATGATTTGGATGTAAAACGAGGAATTATGGTTGCCCTTTAGTTACACCATTGTGCTTTGCGATTGTGCCGTTCTCTGGGCAAAAGTACCTCTCTTTTTAGCTATACCCATGAAGTTGATGGTGAGGTAAGATGAAGGTACAACACTGCTGCATTTGAACCACGTTTTGGTTCACTTCACTACTACGCTACCACCCCTTCTTCCTTTGAGACGGTCATGGCTGTGTACTTGTATATTCATTGCCACGTTTTGCTTTCATCGTTGCAGTCGCTTGGGGTGGCGAGTTCCTTGACACAGCCTGCCACACGGGTTCTGTATTGACACGCTGGTGTCGTAGCCTGGAGGCCTTCAGCCAGGCCTTTGCTGAGGACGTCGGCTCAGAGCATCGCAGCTACATGCTCGAACTGGCCCGCTTTCCCGATAAGGAGGCACGCTTTCGCAAGGAGATGGAGCGCCTTCGCAATGCCACTAGACGTGATCTCACTCTCGAGGTGGGCTTCCCCTTTCAGTTCCTTCTGTGGAGACAATTCATCCCCTTTTGTCCTACTCCTTGTCTTGACTAATCGCAGTCTCATTTTGATTAGTCTACTTCAGTACTTGATGAGTGGCGCCGTTTTCTTTTAAAGCTGAATTCGCTACCTGTCTTTTTAATTTCATTTCCGTCGGTCTTTTCTTCTGATCATTCATGTTTGATGCTTTTGGAGTTGTATATTTTACGTAGCTTAGGTCACGTCTAAATTACACCTACCTATGTGAATTTGGAGTGTTGAAATAATGCGAACTCTTTTTGAAATTTGCTTTTAATAGTGATTTTTGATCCTCTTATTAGGCTGACATCAAGCAAATGCACAATTAATTATTACGCACCAAAGGTTGCTAGTTTAGTGACCTTTGATTGCAAGAGTGAGATATTTATATCGTTCCCTGAGCGGAAAGCTCCATTTATTTCCGCTCTATTTACGAAGCTGATCACGTAGCATGAAGGAGTGTCATTTAAAGCCATTTGCATGCATCTTTTCTTGATCCTTTTATCTAATTGCCTGACAGATCATCCGAGACAGATTTTTGCTAATTGGACCCGTCCTCCAGGTACCATATCTTCATTTAATGTTATGTTGTACTCTAGACAGAACTAAATGAACCGTTTTTTACACCTCGTATTGTTGCAGTAACAGTGTTATGCTACACGACAGGGAATTTGTCTGACTTTGAAAAACCTGTTATAAGTGTAAACTCTATCAAAGATAGTTTGACACTGCATTGATCTCGTCCATAATTTACCTATCTTTGTTATTCATCCATGCCTCTTCCTGTAGTGTTAATCAATGAACGTTCAGGCAGTTTTTCCTTTGATTGGCATATTAGGTCCTTTAAAAATTTATTCCCATACCTCCCTTTTTTGACTGTTAAATTTAGTTTCTCCTCATTAAAAGTTTTCCATGCATTGGTAGTTTTACACCAGTGTTCCTGTCCATTTACACCATCAGGATGTAAGATTGTGTCATTGCCCAAAAGAGTAATTTCTCCCCCTCCCTCTTCCTCTTCGCTGTTGCAGCAACGAGATACGGTAGACCGGTACACGAGCTCACGATTGTTCCTCAGCTTAATAACCTATTTTTCTATGAGGCCTTCCTAATTTCCTCCTGGAGCAATTCTCCAACCTTCTTTCCCTCCGAATTAGTTTCGATTATAACAAATGATGTATTTTATCCTCAATATTGAAGTGCCCTTTTCTAACTCGATATTTGCGGCACCCATCGTAATCCGTGGGTGAAAGTTTCATCACATTTTTTTCCAAGCCACTTTCGATTTCTGTGTACTGAAAGTGTAGGTGTTTCATGAAACCGAATATTTTTTTTTCCTTAATGATTCACTTTCATAAGGGCGTACCCACTTTGTGCAAAGTGGTTAAAGATTTATTCTTATGTAGCGTAATTGGAGTTGGCGAACTTTGGTCTTATGGAGACTTGCTAGTGCATATCATGCCACAGTCTCCTGTTGAGAAAAATCAACTGCGAGCCATATGCTTCACTGTTCTACCATGACATTAGCTCTTGCACTATTGCCCATAGTGATTTATTCAAATCCTAAGATTTATCCTGCGACCAAAAACGTTACATCTATTTTGTTATTTTTCTTAAACTCAACTAATTTGGTGCTATCAATCATCCTAAGCCGATAATGCACACACGCCGCATGCTTGGGGCTCTGGGTGCAGGTGAGGAAGTCGAGGCTTCACGTACACGTAACGTGTCAACGGTGACTTAATTGTTTGGGTCAACTGTGCATTTTCTTCCACTACGTGTGTATTTTTCGAATTGCCAAATTCCTTCCCAGTTTATCTTAAGAGGAGAAACACCGAATTGATCGCTTCATTGTTGTTGTGGCAGTTATCATCATCAGCTCACACTGCCCTTGTTCTAAGCGTTCATCTATTATTTTTCAACATCACAGGTAGAACGCGAGCCAAATGCCCTAATCATCTCCACAGTGCGTCAGTTGAACACGGAGTTCAGCCGTCGTCTCTCTCAGACCTCTACGATCACCCAAATGCTAATCATGCGTGACTCGTTCCCATCCCGTTACTCGGACCTGCATCTCCCCGATGCTGCCGCTTCCCAACAACCCTCTCCAAACCTCTCTGCTGCCGCTTCACCAATCCTCTCCTGCCGACGATTAAAGGTCACTTTCAAGGATGAACCGGGCGAGGGATCCGGTGTGGCGAGGTCCTTCATCACCGCCTTCTCTGAGGCCGTCCTTTCCAATATTGCTCTGCCCGATCTCTCGCCACTCTTTGCCTCTGTCAACGGGGCTCACAGCGCTCCCTCCGCTTCGGGTTAGTCCTCCTTTCTTATTTCCTCATTCCCCCGTTTTCGCCAAATGTCTAGTGTTTTTCCGTTGATCACACAGATCCATTTCAACCGAGATCATCCTCCCTCTTGATGGCGGCGACGTCGCGTCTGTTAACACGATTGCGATTACCCTACAGTTCACAAGTCACTTCGGCTCAGCAGCCTCCCCCCGCTACCTCCACCACTACCACGTCAGTGCTCACTCCCACGGTCTCCACCAGACTAAGACGCGGTGACCTGCATGCGGTGGGCCCGGCATCTCGTGCCCTCTTCCGAAATCCGGTTACTTCTTCCATCTCAATTAATCTCTCATCCTCTTCTTCCGCTAATACAACTGCCGCATCGGCGCCCAACGCTTCAGTAGAGCGAGAAGATGAGGAGAGGGAGAGAATGGAAGATAGGAACATTGGTCCTGAGCTGGCTACCTCTCCTTCCACTTCAAGGTTTGTCGCATTGTCGTTTAAACTATTCCGTCTCTGTGATTGGAGCATAACAGGAATGGTAATTTGGATCAATTGGTAAAATATCTTTTGATGTGTCTTAAACCGGCCAAACCACTTTTACTACCATGATTAACAGAGTTCTAGTGGGGAATTTGATGGCACAGCTCAGAACAGATGATTTATTGTTCTAATACAACATTAATACTGGCACTATTGAGTTGACGCATTCAGATGTTGGCCCAAGAGCACTCTACGCCTACTCCGTTGTTTTAAACTCAGCGTATCGGTTCGGGACACGATTCGATTTAGCTAGTTGCGATGATTTGACAAGAAGTACATTTCACACATCTGTCGCACATGTGTGGTAGTGCACCAGTTTTGATCATTTTGTGCTCCACCACTGCTTCCACATCTATGGAGCTTTTTGAGTATTTTCATGGTAAATTTTTAAGACCGTTGGCATTTTCTCATCTTATCGTCGTACTTACATGTCCATCGGTTCAATTAGGAAGCGCGTACTGCAAACCAGCATATCCACGGTCTCATCTTCTCCCGCTCTGCCGTTTCTTTTCCAATTAAAAACTTATCCCGTGCATGAATCGTTGAACAGTTAGGGTCTGTGTCCTTTATTCAGTGGTGTTTTTAATCCTTTTTCGTAATCACTCCAACTGCGCTGCTCTATGAATTGTAAAAATTACCATGGTGCAGTCTCGACTTTGATTCGATTTATGCGAATCAGTACAACCCCTTGGGAATCCTAACCGTTTCATGAGAATCGCCTTAAAGGTTGGCTTTGATGATTTCAAATTTCGTATCGTGGCATTTGATTTCTTGCTCAAGCCAATGCTTTTTCACTGTAGTTTAAAATTTCCTCAAATTTAGCCATTCGTTAGATCATTTTGGTTGAAAATTAGTCAACCGATGTTAGTTAAGAGCGCTTTCGTGCTAAAAGTATAAAATCTCCTCTTCGTAACTTCGACCACCGAAAAATGTCTCCCATAAGCCTACGTTAAATTCGACTCAAGATAAGTTTAACTTGTAATAGTACTCGTGATCTGTGACCTCAACGGTTGTTGATTTGTGTCAACGCCCTCTTAACCGCCTTTTCTGTCATGGTTCTAATTAACTTTTTTGCCCCATTCAGCTTTCTCTTGATATGAAAATCCATTTTCGATAGGGTCTGCTTCACATCATTTAACTTTGAAGCAGGTAGGGCGATGACGGCTTATTCTTAAGTGTGATTGACGTAGTTGCAGGCAAACTTTTCCCATTTATATGATTTCAATCTAAATTTATGCTTGTAAGCACTTAGTGTCTAAATCAAACCTTGCTTTTTTATTTGGTACTTTCTCTGGAATCTTTGACAATCACTTGGGCTAAGCAAGTGTCCACTACCACTGAATTATTTCAATTATCTGCACTTTGATTAGATTTCTTTTTGGTGGAGGGTTAATGTTATTTATAGCCTAACAGCATAATAAAAACCATATTTTTTTTATTAGAACAAATCACAATCTAACCACCATGCAATCTTGAGACTAGAAATGGTTGTTTTGGGGATCTTTATGTGCTCTTTTCTCCTCGATTTGGCATCTCAGTTCTTTCATATCCTATTGAGTGTCAATAGCTTGGAAACACTTCGCTATGAAAGCTGTTTGACGATCATGTATATGGCAAATGGAGGGGTCAAGTGTGACTTTATAGCGCATCTTGAAATGCCTTTGTGTGGGTGAATTCTCATAAACTGGAGTCACTACTGTACTTTTGTGCGGTTACTGCCTTGGGCGTCTGACCTAAATGTTTATTATCTAAATTCAGTCAGAAGCTTTCCGCTGTAGTGCGGACGCCTCTAGTCGATTGTCTAGTGCTAAGACTACTGACTCCTCCAGTAGGCGACAAACAAGTGGATGAATTGGACTGAAAATGCCCTCTTTAAGTTCTATTTTGTATATATAAGTCCTCCAAGTTGAGCAATTCAGCCAGTGAGTTACGCCATGCCTGCACCAGAACTTAAACATGGGTTGGTTTTAATACTACTTTGAAATGATTTTAACGAGTTTTCTACCGGCATCACATCCATGCGACACCACGGTTTTACTCTTTGAGTGATGAGTTCTTTGTCTCTTTATGGTAGCTAGTTGCGTCTGTTCGTGTTGCAATGCATTTGAATGAGTTTAAGACCGTAAAGTAGTTATTATGGAAATTGATTACACTTTGTTATTGTTGCGCAGTGCTTAACTTCGTTCGACGGGAGTAAGTGTTAGTGTCTCATGGGAACAATAAAGCGTCTGGTCTTCTGTGATTGACTCATCTGAAACCCTGGTAGCAAATACACTGGGATATTAAAACAATTCCAAATATATTTTTTAATCATACTGTATTTGGGATACCGAAGTCACAAAGGGACGTCATGTTATTGTAGGGGAACCGGAGGAAATGTTACTGGCCGGTCACATTTCTGATTATTTAATCTTTCTTTTTAATTTCAACTCTAGGGAAAGTGTGAAGACGTCCGGTGAAGTACCAACCACGACAGCAGAGACGGTTGGTAGCGGCGGTGGAGCGGTGGAGCGCGCACCCCTCTTCTGGCAGCCTGGCATCACAGGCTTCTACTCGCCTCGTGGCATTGGTTCAAACCTGCCGCCGGACTCACCTGAACTTCTTTGTCGTCTCTCCTTGTACCGGTATGTGACCTAGTTTAACTTGGTTTGTAGATAGGGTATCAAAACAATAGACTAGACCGTATCCAATGTGCCGTGAAACCTCTAATTTCGAACCAGTCATTCATTCGTTTTTTTGATAAGCTTATATTAACATGTTCTTAACCGGACAGTGGGAGGGAAGAAATGTTTTTCACAATTTACTGCGAGGAACAAGAATTACTTTGCTTTCTAGAAGAATGTGCGCGACAGTCTGTTAGTCAATAGAGTAGGTCTGCGCGCAAATTCTGTGCAGTTTTATCAACTCTCCCACTTTGTGAACGAGTGGCTTCAAAAGTCTATCTTACGTTTTTTCCCTTTAAGCATCTTATCATTATTCAGATCATGCTCCCTTTCAGATCTATCCCTTGTTTTGGTTTGCCATTTGTCTTTGTGTTGTGGAATTCGGGATCCAGCTAATGCATACTCTATTTTTTAGTTTTAATTGAGCTAACTAATTGCGCACACGGTTCATGTTACAACTGATAATGTGACTCGTTTACATTGCTGATACATCAGCTATCCAACATCGTTTAAATTTACCGTTCCAAATTGCAGTTGCGTCGGTCGAGTGATTGGTCTGTGTCTACTCTTCAACGAGACTTGCCCATTGCGCTTCAACCGTCATGTCTTGAAGTACATCCTTGGACGTCCACTGTGTTGGCACGACTTTGCTTTCTACAACACTACCGTCTATGAGGGCCTGCGTCAGCTCCTGCTCTACACCACCACGGAACGGTCTGAAGGTGTAAGTGCTGGCTGCCATTATCACTATAGAGTCGCTGTATCATCTGGTGATGTCACAGTACAATTATCGTTGTTGAGCAGGCTAATAATTCAATCATTAAGTCCTTTTTACCAGAGGCTGAGCACTCACTGATTTTGGTGATTGAAAGGGCCCATGGTGCTTCGTTTAGTCTGAGTTTGATCGGTTGATTCACATAATTATTTTGAAGAACTAAATGGAGAGTTGGTGTTATAATTCGACCCTATAAGAGTGTCACAAACTTTACTCCTACAATCTCACATTGCCGTCTTTTACCGGTCAGTAGTACAATAAAGGATCATTAATGCTTTGTGCCTATTCAGTTACCCACTTTCAATAGATCATTTTTCACCGCCTTGATTGTGTTCTTCATTAGTCAATGAACTTATTTTGCACCGTTCATCCCTACGGTAGTTCTTTTCCAAACTTTACCCCAAGTATACTGATATAGTGATGTACCTACTTATCCCCACCTAAGTTGGCTACTTATTGTCATTAAGAGTAGCCGGATCATTAACCACTCATTTTTACAGGCTTCAGACTCGATTCGAGATTACAGTCTCACCTTCTCACTGATAATGGCTCCGGAAGAGGGTGGCAGTGCTGGTAGTGACGGTAGTTCGTCCACTCCCCAACAACATCTCCTTGTTCCTGGCGGTGACGAAATCGAGGTGGATTCGGAGAAGATATACGAATTTGTTAAACGGTATACCGAATTTAAAATGGTCGAAGCCGTTAAGGAGCCTCTTGAGGTAAGTTTTTGTTTTGATGATCCAAAGCCTCTTTCGTGTATATGTGTGTATACTGGCATTGCTTCATGTTTCACAAGCACCTCGAAAAGCCGGAATCGAATACAGTTTATGCCGACGTGACGGCGGCACCCGAGACTATGGAAAAACGCTTTTGACTGGCATATTTATTGCAAATGAACAAGGCTTTGAATCTTACAATAAAATGTCTTTTATCTGCTGTGATGTGATTTATTTTAGTGATAAAAAACTTTAAGATGATTATCAATCTGAATTGCTTAACTACAAAATCATTCCATCGTTCAGCACATGTACTCCCATTACCGTAGTCTATCTCCAAGCCTCACCTTATCTATTTATTTCCACCTTCTTTCCAGCAAATACGGCTGGGCGTTTTCGACGTCCTCCCTGCAAATGCCCTGGATGGTCTGACTGCGGAAGACCTACGACTTCTACTGAATGGCATCTGGGATGTTGACGTGGATCTCTTGGCCAGTTACACAACCTTCCTGGACGAGTCCAATTGCGGTGCTGCCGCTGCTGCTGCAGCTGCTGAAGGCGGGGTTCAAAGCGAGGGCGCTACTGAAACCACCACCACCGCCAGTGCTGCCAATGAGCGTGTGGCTCGTCTCAAGCGCTGGTTCTGGCATATCGTTAGGAGTCTCGACTCTCGGCAGCGTCAGGATTTGGCAAGTCTTTTTCTCTTCATTCCGTACTGCCTAGTTGGGTGAAGCTTTGATCCTTTTAAGCTGTCAGTGGATTTCATTTCGGTAGCAGTGGCAGTAGACATCTTCATTATTATCACTACCCCTGTGTTTCCGTTAAACTCATATTTCACTATTGCGTTCCCATATTAATGTCTGCCGCTGCTATCTCGAACTTCGTTGTGTCGTTTTTCATGAACGGTATATTTTACCAACGGAGCGGAGTATAGGTACCATCGCGGTGCTGTCACTCAACGTCCTTGAATAGAAATAACGCTAACCTTTCTTTTGGGAATTAGGTATGCTTAACCTAGGCTTTTAAACCAGCTCAACATGTCTTTTCTCCATCTGTTGGGTTTGAGCATAGACAATCATGGCTAAGTGCCTATGGTGGTAGGTTGCGTAGATAGTCATCTGGCAGGCGATTTGCTGGCCCTGATACTTTAATGAACCGGAGCATTAGTGAATCCGGGTCAAACTTCATGCTTTCTTGCAAGTCCTGAGGCTCTTATTCACTGGATTTTTTGAATGATTTTCAGAATTTCTACTGTCTGTAACCAACTGGGTATCTAGGGTTATTGTTCGTCTATCACACAAATGCGGATACTTTCGAGCACTTTAACCTACCTACATAAATCATAAGTCTATGGAAGAAAATTGGTCTCCACTACTCAGCCCCAATGTGAATACTGATTGGTGCTCTTGAAATACTTCCGCTGTCCATGTTACTTAGTTCATGCCGGAATGTTCCTGCTCTGGTGGAATTTATGCATAATTTACGGACCGACGGCACCGTTATCTCAAACTGATCGTCTTTTTGTAAAGTACAAAGGCACCCATCTGACCATTCAGTGGTCGCACCTCACGTTCAGAGAAGATTAGACTTTCTCAATCGAACCCTAGTCTTTCTACAGTGGATGACCACAGAACTATGGTATTTCCGTAATTGTGGCTGTCACGAGACAATCCGTCTGCTCGATCCGTCGATGTGGGCTCAAGTATGCTGATATCTGGCGTATCCGGCTAAACAAACTGACTAATTGACGATAGTTGCATGGCCAGAGTGATTATTTACCCTTGCGGGGTTTTCTCTGTTTCCAGCTGTACTTTTGGACATCGTCACCGGCCCTGCCAGCGAGTGCACAGGGCTTCGCACCAATGCCCACCATCATGATCCGACCTGCGGACGACCAGCATTTGCCTACGGCAAACACGTGCATCTCGCGGCTCTACTTGCCACTCTATTCCTCTAAGCATATTCTCCGCGAGAAACTCCTCCAGGCCATTGAGACGCGCAGTTTCGGCTTCGTATAATCCTCGTCCTCTGTCTTGCTCACTGCATAATTCTACGTTGTGTGCACGTTTGTGTATGTATTTACAACTTCCTCCCCGGCTTCTCGCACCATCCTTCTGTTTAATTGTATACGGCGGAGATTTGACTGTTGATTCGTTTGTCCCCTTTGGCACTTGGTTGGGACTGACATTCGGTTTGTCAAATCGGCCAGTATTTGGGTTTTATGGGATGAAGTTGGTGTATTTGTGGTATATGGCTGAAATTATGCAAAAATAAATTGCAAGAAATTGACGAATTGTCGTGGTTAGTGTTAGTCATCTAACTCATTGATTGGAGGGAGTGGGAGCTGCGCAGGGAGTGTGTCTGCCTTCATCTGTGAAAAGCGTCCACGAACAGATAATGATGGAGGAGTTATGCTTACGGTGTCACCATTCAAGTCGCATCTTTTACCTGAATTCCAATATTTATTCAAATGAATGTTGGCGACGTTGCAGATCTACATTCCATCTTTAATTCAGACGTTGGATTCGTCCATAGGTCTAGTCACATTTTAGCACTGAACTTAGATTGTTATCTTCGGGTGTGGGTTTCCTTCTTTGGTTGGAGCTTAACCTTCTTAAGACCGCAAATTTCATTTTTAAAATTCAGCTAGCTTCAACTGAACCATATTTCAAGTCATCGTACCGGTGGGGCTTCCTAGTGATCATTCCAGGTTATTTCTCTGCTAGAACCCCTTATCATCTTCCATGCCAATTTGTTAGCTTAGAGTCCTAGATACGCAACGCCTAACCTGAGGTACAAGGGGCAGCTCGGCTTTTAATCTAACGGGACAGTATGAGAACCCAGCCTCCCGCTACATTTAGGGTAGGTCAATGGCGCAGGTTCCACTCCGTTGATGTCTTTTACCCAACCCTAGACAATTCGATGTATTTGTGCTGAAGCGGTTTTAACATTAAATAAAAATTTCGTTAAGTTAATCGTAGGAGCATGTCGACAATGCATATTCTGTTCGAGTATTACGCCTTTCTTCGCTTTCTGGAAAGTTGTAAGTCACTACATTGGAGGCGACGAAAATTATACTTCACCTTGAAGGCCATCCACCCTGATTTCTACTGCTGGGTGATAAACCCTAGCGGGGTGGAAGAAGTGCAAATTCTGCAGATGAAGGAATATGTGACCAACCTTAACAGAAGTTTTGAAAATGCCGTCTGGTTTCGGTAACTACCCCAGTTTCGTGGCCTGAAAGTGAGCTATTAACAGTCGAAGCGACATTAGCCGTAAACCATTTGGAAAAGTTTGTTATACAACTGTCTATTGTGCTCGTATCAAGACATCAAATATGTGGACTCTCGGTACCTCCTCCACTTCTCTCTTAGCTGGATAGAATCCTGATAGATTGGGGTGGGCAGCACGTCAAAGAGAAAAGTGCCAAGGAAGGGTAAACCCGAAGCCCCACCCGCATGGATCAATTTTAAATCCCATTCTCTGTTAGCTGACTGCTTTCAGGCCAGTGTTCCCCCGGCTAGCTATGGGCACGCATGGTGGCCAGCATATTCCCCTTTTCCCTCACACAGTTTCCAAATCCAGAAAACACAGTCAATTATCATCGCAATTGCGTGGAAATTCGATATCTGACATGGTTTGTTCGTGGGTGACTCCTTACAGAACCGATTACGCTGTGATTGTTGACGCGTAAGGTTGAATAAGGGTGCGCTCTAAAGGGGAGAGGATATGTAATATGTTATGTGTTTAACTCCCGGTTTAAGTAAAAAGCCGCTTAGGCCCTCTGCCATTGTACCTTCACCATGTTGGCTGGCCCCTGGGCCATGCCAGTAGCCTCAAACCCTACTGTATGTCGAGCATGCATCTCCGGATCGAGTATTACGGCACTTTTCGTCCTCAGGGAGGTCGTGGGGCAGCACTTTTTTATCCCATTGATTGAGCACTTGATTCACATTAATTTTTCCTTAGTTCAACTGAGATTGAATCATCTTAAAGTGTGGGAGTGGTGAGCGCTATAATCCAGTCTGAAAGAGAACCAACCGAGAATTCCCCTTTGCAAGAAATATCGTTAAGAGAAATCAGTCTGAGTTCGTCCAGTCGCTTATCTACGCTATCTTGTCAAAATCCCCGCCGTTTAATTTACCCTAACACAGACACAGATCATACCCCAAAATAATAAGAACTTAAGCTTTCAAAAGCTCTATTATGCGCTGGTGATGTATTTTGTACAAATCGTAAAGGTAGGTACGATAATTTTAAGCTATTCAAACATTTACATGTTTCACTTCGCCTCCCCCAACATCCTATTCTAAGCAAAAGTCAACCCATCATTCCATCACTTGAAGCCGTTTACAGGAGGCACAAGTCGTTGTTCATTAAATTGGCCGTAGAAAGACAAAAAACATAAATAGCAACACAACTCGAGTTCAACCCTTCGTCCCATCCTCCCCAGCCGCCACAACCTCCATCGTGGGCGGTGGGAGCGGCATTTTGAAGGTGGGCCGTAATCGCTGAGAGGTCGTCGTCGTACCTATCCCTTGTCCCTTCTCCGAGGCATCCTTGCACGCTGCTACTAACCTCTCCTGACATACCCACAAATGCAGACTCTGAAGGGCCCGCGTCAAACCACCGAGGAGGGAGCTGAGGCAGACGTCGTTAGCCTGGCGCAATAGAGAGTTCGTCCCATCATCACCACCGCGCATGCTGCTGCCGCCGTCAGCACCGACAGTGTCGGGGTCGGTGCCCTCGGACTCGAGACAATGGGGGAGACGAGAGAGGAGGGCATGAATTTCGCGCAGTCTGCCAGCGTGCGAAGGCAGCTCGCCATGCATCACAGCGTCTACGTAGTCGCGGAGGAGGTGCAGCCGCTTGGAGAGCATCTGTACTGCGTGAAAGTTACCCATTAGACATTCGGCGGTGGGAGAGATATCGTCTGCACTACTGCCGACGCCGCCACCACTTCCAGTAGCACCACCCGCAGAGGCGTTGACACGAGCCAAATGGTCCACTCCAATGTGCTCAATCGCATCGTGCGCCAGAGTGTAGGGTATCTATATACAGAAACGATAGAGAACTTCGTAAAACCTTAAGTACTTATGTAAATTATCAAAACAGAAATTTCGAAGAGAGATGTAGGGAAAATTGGGGCTGTGTTGATGAGTTATTATTTGTTCCCAAAATGTCCCCATTACGCGTAGTTTCTGCTGAAATACTGAAGGACCATGGTTTAGTTTTCCTTAACTTCGAAGGAAGAATGAGAAGTTATCTGTTTGTACCTTCTAGTGATGGGGCAGAAAAGGTCAAAAACTTATGTAAGAACACATTTACCGAAAGGGGAAAAATTTAAGGCCTACATGGAGAAGTATGGCCAAGGTCTATTCCCCAAGATGCCTAGCTTCAAAAGGGATTTTCGAGGTGTTAAAACCGGTACTAAGGAAAATGGAATCATGATCAGCAGGCGCTAAATTGACGAGTATAAAAAATTAACATTTTCCTCGAAAATCGCCAGTTTTAATCAATTGTATGCATTGCCAACCAATTTAAAATATGGTTTATTTATCCGTGGGAGTCAACGCATTTGCACCCTTTTTTAACAACTAAATAAGGCGTTAATTTTACCAATGTGTATAGTTAATAAAAAAAATTCCATCCGAAAGTCAAGGAGGGATCACTGTCCCAAAGAGATCCCCGTACAGACACTAATCTTAAAACGACGTCGGTTTCACAGCAGGATAAAATCTGTGTTCGAAAAATTGTCGATTATGTGAGCAGTAAAAAACAAGACAATAAAGCCCAAAGCAATGTTGACTTCTAAAAGTTACCTTTGAATGGTTAAAAATGGTAGAAAATGGGATATTATCATCGGTTAAAAATAATGCACACAACCCAGAAACCATACTCTTCGAGGAATACAGTTATTGGTAAGTGTCTGTAACTAGACGCACACCCGTATTGATATTTTACACAAATTCCGACAGGAATATTCATCTCACGATCAACATTTTGACCGAAAATCAAACATGACCTAGATTGGGAGTTATGGGACAACTTCTCCCGTAATACAATCGAAATGGTAAGGGGCAACTAGCCAGAAAACACTTTAGCGTACGAAAGCTGTACTTTGTTAAATCGTGAAAACTGCTTGGATAAATGTCTGTCGTTCAAACAATTCTACAAATACATATAAAAAACCGACTCTGGATTTAAAAAAAAGTGGCTAAGATTCCCCATGGAATATGAATACAATGAATAAACGATAAGCATTTATGGTATAGCAGTATAACTTGTTGACTGGCAAGGTTGTTCAAGAATATCGTTTGATATGGTCCGTAAGATTAGAGCATATCAGTGAAAAGAATCAACCTCTCGAATTTGTAGAATTTAGCTAGACTCACCTGCTTGAAGTCAACACAAGAATCGCTGCCGACTACTGTTTCGTACACTCTAATGGGAAGACGTTCGCCTGACTTTTCCAAAGGATTCAGTTTCAATATGATCAACGACTCACTACTTTCAAGGAACTAACAAAATGACATAGCAAAGCAAAAAGTCAGCCTACTCTAGAGTTTAAGAGCTTATTTTCTTCAGTAATGGGTCCTCCTGTTGCATACCAACCGATTAAATCCAGTCCCGGGTACACTTGCTTGAATTGGCCTTCACGAGCGGCAAAGTAATCTCTGTCCACAGTCATGTCTTCATTAACAAGGATTTCGTATGAATTAAATATCTGATACTGTGAAAAAAGGGGAATTAAATGACATACCTCGATCTCCCGCCCCCTGTGCTTTCCCAGTAACGCACCGTAAACGACAACAGCAGTGGAATCCAGAGCCAGCTTCTCTCTCATCCAATGCTCTGACACATTAAGTACCACCAGAGGGTGTATTAAGACCGAAATGTTGTCCTGATTTGAATTGGTATCAACGGGATCATTAGGCAAATCAGTATCCATCCCTGGTATTTGCAGCGGCTAGTAGGGCTAAAGATGGTCAATCACACACAACGACCTTGGGTAGTCTTTGTATAATTGGATAAAGTGGGAATTTCTGTCAACTGTAATTTATGTCAAAATGAAACTTATGTCAGATGGAATTTAGTTTTTAGCCAAAATAAACCTATTTTTTACACAATACTCGAATGTTTTTATTTTGCTAATTATTAAAGCTAAAACCAAACTTTGCTTTAATTTCATGACATCGAATTATCCCATTTTAGTACAAGCGATACATGCTTTCATGAATGTAGCTTTGTAGTGAGAAGTGACCTATATAGACGAATCTTACTATTAAACGGAGGCCAATGGCCTCTGGGGCAGCACTAACTGCCGATTTATGGCTTCACCTCCCTGTGCGCTCCCACAACACCGTAAAAAAGATGCCCTCCTTTACCAAATCTGCTCTTCCATCAGGGTGGAAGCAGATGCAAGAAAAATCGGACCCCTTACACTTGCACCAGCCTTGCCAAATTTTTCCCTTTCGAGAATGACAGACTTGAAAAGTGACTTGAATAAACCAGATCTAACCCTTGATTTTACCTCAACGACAAAGACATTACAGATCCCATGCGCCCTCCCTCTACACCAAATCTCATCCACCGTGGAGTTCAAGAGAGCTGTCACACTGAGTTTGAAGAAAGTTGTCTCACACTGTTAGAAAGAACAGATACTGGACAGGGAGTTTTTACTTTGCGGCAGAAATTTCGAGAACAAGATGGAAAGTACGCAAGGAAATTGTACTGTAGCGCCCCGAGACTCCCTTAAGACGAAAGAAGACACAATACTCGGGCAGAATATATATATTCAGCACGGAGAAGGTGTCTGGGCTATTGGCATGGCCCAAAAGGCCAGCCCCAGCCAGCGAGGTACAAGGGGGCTAATTCGAAGCACAAAAGTGGCGCCTCACCAATACTGGGGATAAACCACCATCGTATTACATAGCCTCCCTCCTCTTTTGAGCGTCGTCCTCGGCGCTCCCACTGGTCGACCTCCCGGTTCAGCCATTACAACGTAGTCGGTGCGGTAAAGAAACACCCACGAGCCGACCGTGCCAGTCACCAAATTAGCGCGCAACTGAGGGGATACTTGACCTCAACGTCACTGATACTTCTTGGCAGCTTGACTGGATCTGGGGTTTCGTCCGGTCTGGGGATTTCATTCAGGACGGGGGAACTGCGCCGGCCATCATGCGTGTCCATAGATAGATGCAGGAACACTGGCCTAAAAGCAGATTTGAGTAAGGAAGTATAAGATTTAAAACAGGTCCATGGGGGACAGTAGGGGAAATCCGTAACGAAACTTCCAGATGGTTCACGGCTAGTGTCGCTTCAGTTGTTAATAGCTTTTCTGCAGAACACGGGACTGGGAGGGATGCCGAAGGTAGACGTCAACACAAACCCTTCTGTTAGGGGTCATCACCATTCTCCCATCCGTAGCATATGTACTTCTTCGGTCCCACTAAGGCTTATCACGCAGAAGTGGAGAATCAGGATACATGTCTTTCAAGATCGGGTTCGCTTTCCGCTGCCACCAATGTAGCGCCCCGAGACTCCCTTAAGACGAAAGAAGACACAATACTCGGGCAGAATATATATATTCAGCACGGAGAAGGTGTCTGGGCTATTGGCATGGCCCAAAAGGCCGGCCCCAGCCAGCGAGGTACAAGGGGGCTAATTCGAAGCACAAAAGTGGCGCCTCACCAATACTGGGGATAAACCACCATCGTATTACAGTACCAATTGGCAAAACCTATGTTTTACGGTCCCTCTTTAAACAGGGTCGAGGGATGGTCAGCAGTACAGTTTAGACACAGAGCCTGCCCGAACATTATGGTCGAGGTACTTTGCAGCACAGATACTAAAGCGCTGTGGAGAAGCACCAAGGGTTTACCATGGTTCTACGCTACAACGGCTATAACAGCCAACCGTACCAAATGCACTTATTGTGAGGCTTTTTGTTTAACCCAGAGGTGCATTATTTTTGCCAGATCTTCGTTACTCACCCCAGATTTAAGAGGCCTGACCTCACAACGATCGCACCGTTTCAATCTATGCCCAAAAGTTTCCCAGGAGAGAGAGTGGGCATTAACATCAATGTCCCAGAGTACGTACTGCGGCTGAGAGAAGAGATAGGAAAAATTAACACCATAACACGGGAACACTTACGGATGGCATATATCAGACAAGAGTCATTGTGATAAGTGCAGTCAGCCTAGTCTACCGGGAAGGAGACCTACTACAACTATGCAGCCTTGTTCCGCCACCTGGAGTACACTGTAAGTTCCGCCATCCTTGGAGCAAGGTTGCAGTCCAGGTGATGAAACTGTATTGTCTGTAATACACGACTCCACACGTAGCCATTCACGGTTCATCACACCATAACGCATTCGTATAAAGGCACACTTCTGAATGAATTAGAAGATGAAGTTTGTGTAACAACGGAAATACCATATGTGAATATAAGCGTTAAGTGAAGCATCGATGACGGTGCTTAAAAAGATGATGGAGCTATGTAATACGTATTTGCTAGAATGCACCTTTTCACTGGGAAGCAGTTAGTTTTCATAAACCTGAGTGAACACCATCACTCCTGAAGAGGAAACAAACTCTAAACCCATGTGACTTCTATTATCTGTAGACGTTTGTGAAGCTTTTCTATTAAAAGATGGCCTCCTCCACCTAATCTGCTTGTTCCGAAGGCATGAAACCACTGGTGGAGGGGGGTGAGGGGAAGCACTAAACCCATTCCTCAAAAAAGGAGAGCCATGTGATTTGGAGCAAGCAGAACCTGGAAATAAGCCAAATTAGTTGTCGTGTGGAGCGGAAGTTCAGCCCGAGGAGATTGGAGCTCCCGTGCAACCAAGCATGCGCTTAAACAACTCTTCTAGTCACCGCGGTAGTTGAACCTGCTTCGCTAGGCCACAAGTAGGTTTGATTGAAAACGCCGCTTTCTTGCGGTTACCACCACAGCCTTGGTATTCCTCTCATAATCAGTAATTACTTTCATGCGCAATATTAATAGCCAATAAAATGTTCTACTCCTCGTACAAATAGACACCTTCGAGATGTCTTGAAGTCAAAAAGTACTAATACGTGATGAATATTTCATAGATATCATGGTGGTTACGTTGCTGTTCCATTCCACCTACATTTTTAGATTGTTAAGTGAGAAAAGTTGGTCAGAGGAATAAAGCCCTCATTGCAGGTGATCAAGCTTTATGCGAAGATCCGAAAGTGACTCGCCTCGGAGGTGGATTTAATGAGCCTAGTTGCCACCTAAAAGGTTTACTCAGGCAAACATATAAATTCACTTATTAACTTCTTTGCAGTTTGTGAGGGAAAAGATTTCCAAATCGTGTGATGATGGTTGTTGGTAAGTAGCTTTGCAGACAGTTGTACGCCTTCGTATTTAACCCCGTAAAACGCTTCATGAGATGCTCCGCCTTTGTATTTTTGCTAAGCAGCAAGGCTGCCGGGCCGTGCCGGCAGTTCTCTGCCCTTCTGCACATCAGCAATGCACATTCTACCTTAGTATTATGACTACCTTCGTCCCTAGGAAAGACTTGGGACATAGAAATGGTGGCGGAGTAAAGCGCACCCAGGCCTAATGAATAGCCGCTCTAGTTTCCACTGTTGACTGTTAAGCCTTAATTTGACCAAAGAAGGGCATAGGCTGCGGATGGGGAAACATGTGGCGACGACTAACAGAAGGATTGAAAATGACGTCTACCTTCGACAGCTACACCAGGCTTGAGTTTAGGAGGAATGCTATTAATAGCTGAAGCTGCACTAGCCGTAAACCATCCGCTAACATTCATTTCGGAGCTGCCTCGGGTACCCGCACAAAGATGTCATTTGAATAAACACGCGAGATTTCCTCCACCCTTCTACTACCTAAATAGATTTCAGCTAGAGATACGGCTAAACGCAACTAAAGCGAGGACAAAGTGGAAAGGAGCTGTAGATGCAAAAATGTGTCAGCAAGAGACAATTTTAAGTCTTGTCCTTTATTAAGTGATTTAGCTTATAGACTGGTGTTTTTACGACTGGCGATGGACGTGCATGATAACACCACATTTCCCAACCCGTAGATTTGCCAAAGGGGAACAGTGGCGTTGCAGTCAGGTATCTCATTTGCACGCAAATTCATTTGGTTCATAGTAGTATTTCGGAGTGCGTCAACAGCTTTATGATGGTTGACCAAGGGGAGCGCCTAAGACGACATTCAAAAGGGGAGAAAGCTATGCAACACTTTGCTTAATTCTTAGTTTATGTTTTGCGTTCACTTTGATATACGTCTTTGTACTTCCATTAGGTGGGAGGGCCATGCCAGTAGTCCTCAAGCCCCTCTGTACATTGATAATACACATTTCGCCCCAGTATTATGACGCATTTCGCTTTCTTGTATGACTCGGTGCACTGCAAAAGGCGTGCTACATTTACTACTGAACGCAAGAATAGTAGACGAGTGTTCATAAAAAACCAGCTTTAAGCTATTCGAATTTCAACTAACAGTTTAACTAACGATTTGATATTCCACTTTAATGCATATATAACTGCATTTTTTTCACAAGATATACACTGCTTTTTTCTTCTAATGGGTCCTTGCATAAGTTTCCGGTTTAAAACTGATATGGGCTGATTATATCCATTTTTATTTTCCATCACTTGATTTTATTTGCCCTGACTACTTTTAAGCTCTGATTCTGATTCAATCCTTATTTTGATTCCCAAACCAATTAAATGACCCCGGCGTAAATTATTCTACAGACTATGTGAGATTAATTATTTTGCAAAACAACTTTATTACATTAATATGCGAATATTGCAGTTATTAAACAATAACTATTTCATGGCGATTTATCAATTGTGTTGCAATGATTGCTCTAGGAACACATATTCGACTATCATTGCTATCTAGAGTACAGGTAGATTAAAATACTTAATTAGTGATTTGAGATTATTTACTTGCGTGGTAATTGGCAATGCGAACTAACGTAATGGGAAACTTCAATAAAGTTCTGTGGCAGAAACTGACTCACATGAATGCTATTTTGACCTATCTTGTTCTTGTTTAAAGTGGTGCTCAAACACTTACGCAGTAAATCCGATCAAGCATGGGTGGGGCTCTTTCGCATTTGATGTTTTATTCGTTTAGCGCAAAAATGTTGACACACTAGGCGTGCAGATCTAAGTAATCTATCTTGTTTTCGTTGAATTACGGCTTTATTTTTTTGTCTGATTCGATTATTTGGCCGAACTTTTCAGGAATCGCGCGCGACAGAATCCACAAAAGAAGCAAGACTGGTGGGCGTCGTGAACGCAATCGTAAAAAGAGGAAGTTTGAATTGGGTAGACCTGCCGCAATGACCAAACTGGGTCCTCGCCGCATCCACACTGTACGCGTTCGTGGTGGAAATATCAAACTCCGAGCCATGCGTTTGGACCAGGGCAACTTTAGCTGGCCCACTCAGGCCATTTCGCGCAAATCGCGAATCATCGATGTTGTCTACAACGCTTCGAACAATGAGTTGGTTCGTACAAAGACTCTGGTTAAGAATGCCATTGTGCAAGTCGATTCCGCCCCTTTCCGTCAGTGGTACGAGGCTCATTACTTGAAGGAGCTTGGTCGTCATCATGCCAAAGGGAAGAAGGTCGAAACCACCGAGAACCCTGAGGATGATGTTCTCCTCAAAAAACGCAGTGCCTCTGTCATGAAAAAGTATGAAGCTCGCCAGAAGCTGCCCCAAGCTACTCTTTCTGAAAACCTCAAGGAGCAATTCATGTCTGGCCGCCTCCTGGGTAAGGATGTGATCTTGCTATTAAATTGCACCTCTTAGCCTGCATTTCCTCCCGTCCCGGTCAAGTCGGTCGTTGCGACGGATACATCCTTGAAGGTAAAGAGTTGGAGTTCTACTCTAGGAAGTTGAAGGCTAAAAAAGCTAAGTAAATCTTGTAATAAATTGTAAGGAAAAACTATATTTTTTTGCTCAATTTAGTGGGGTCTGCAGAGTCATAGCTCCTGGTCTGGATGTTCCAGATTAGGTTTAATGCTCTGCTATAGTGAGTTCATCGATTCTTCTGGGGATCAGTGAACACACCGGTCGTTACTTTTGGGTCCTATGACGGTCCATTTCCTGATTTAGGTGATCTCAGGAAGTCTTGATAGTCTTATATGATGTTTTTGATTTGTGTCCTTAAAGTGGTTTCTAACGTGGCATCCTTCCTGCTTCGTTGGGTTTGGTTTCTTGGAGCCTCCAGTTTGTCGAGTTTTGTGATTTCTCATATAATTTCGTTGTCGCGGGTCTTTTTATGCAGGTTTTGAGGGAATTGGTACTTAAGCAACAGGGCAGTGTGATAACTCCGGTGGAGCCGTTTTCTTGTCCAGCGCACCTTGGCTGCGGTTGTGCAGGTGAAAATGCATCGTCTGGATTTTTGTTGCTTGTGAAGTTTATCCAGTCAAGATTAGTTTACTTGCCCCGGTGTGGGGGGATGCTGTCGGTTCGGTGTGGTTGTGCATGGTAGATGTTTAACTGATCGGTGGTAGTTGGTGGGTTGCAATACTTTTGCAAATTGATAGACATGGTGTTCTGTTTTTGGCATTTCCGCAGCCCCGATGCCTTACATTCGACAGTCTCCGTGTTTTTCGTCTTAGATGTTGGCAATCGAGAGTTGTAATTGCTACACCAGGTTTAAAGCATTTCCCTCTATCGTGATTAAGCGTGACTACCCCTATGTTAGTAGACACTTGTGCCTAAATATCAAAATGTGGGCTGTGCTCGGTAAGGGTATGCTGACGACTGTGGTCAGACGGTTAATTCGGAGGCCGCTCTGGTTGTAGTGACCAAAGGCTTCTAGGCTGTTAGCAGAATTAACACAAATATGACTACGGTGCTTAAGTGACGGTTGCCGGGCCGGGGCAGATGTGCGATTGGAACTAGCGTTACTCACTTACACTGCTTGACTCTAGGAGAGGCTGGTGTGATTTTTTAGAGGAAAAAGGGTAGGCTATTCGAATAAATAGCAAACTCGCATGATTGACCAGACCTTGAGTGAGCGAATTATTTCTCCATCATCGAAGAGGTTTCGGATACTTCACTCGGGTGGAGCTCTTTACTGCCTGGTCCCCTTAGTAATGTGTCACCATAAATCTAAACTTCTCTCACTTGAATTTTTGTGGAGTGCTTAAGGGTTTTTTCTTTGTACGGTCTTTGTTTTTCTGAAACAACCACCGAGTTTGGTAAATATTCATTTTCACTGGAGCAGTAGGACAACCTCGGTTCGTGCGACTAAGCCCATCCAGGTAGCCTTACTGACTATTCGAAAGCGAATTCAGGGGTGGCTTGAGATGGACGTGGACGCTTGCACTTTTAAGCACTGTCTTAAACTCAATTTGCTGGTGTTAAACCTCTACCAAAGCGCAAATTTGATGGAACCATACCCATCATTTATAAGTGTCTTTATGGGTTACATTTTGAGCTGCTTGCGGTGGTGTATTAGTTTCTTGGACAGAACCCGCTTGACCGCCTCATTTGTGGTTCCAAAATATGGAAGACGGGGAACAAGTGTATTTGAGCTAATAAGTGGACAAAGACCTATACTTGAGAACCTCAGAGCTTAACTGCCAGGGCCATCAATGCATAAGAGCTATTCGAGGGTTTGAGTACTCTGTGCCGCGTTACGCAGCAACATTTGCGTCATTTACGATTTCATTGCACTGGTTGTTCAGTCTTTTCAGGTTGCGGTCGCCGCCTCTGGTGACACGGCGTTCCGGTCATATTTGTTTCTATTAATCGACTTGCAGATCCACGCACGCCCCATGCAGCTTTGGGTGGGTACACGTTTTTTAAAGCTTTGAAATATTCATGCCTCGTGGTACACATGAACAATCAGATTTAGCAAATAGGGATTCAAGCTACAGCACCGTTTCAGGGTCTGCGAAATCTCGAACAGCTTTTTAACATACAGGCAGATTTAGCCTTCAGACTGTGAATAGACGCTGCATTGCACCTGGGGTACTGGCGTTAGGCGATTCGGAACCATCCCTGGAATGGATTACGGAGTGAACGTGTTTGAAGGTCGAGTTACGGTTAATTTAATGCAAATATTCCGAATAATTTTAAAGGCAACTGGGCACTTGTGCCATTCTAAAACTTTGGTGACCGAAAAAAATGCAATTTCTGGTGTGGCTTGTTGCAATGCTCTAGTGTAATTTGTTGGAAGTTGTGAAACGTATGCATCTCAGGTAGTGTCTGTATTTTCTTCACCTCTTTCACTCACCTTATCATTCAGATTGATTGTCTGACCAAATTGCTTGTGGTGGAGAATGGCTTTCACAAGGCCACTTTTGTTGGACGAAAAAACGCCATTGGTCGTATCCAAACAATTCACTCCCTGTCTCATACACTGTGCCCAGGAGAATGCTTAGCGTGTTGTGGTGGTGGACTGCGGACGGAATTGATCTCTTCCTGATAGCCGGATAGCGAATAGGAATAAGATTTGTCTGTCCGGTAAAACTTTAATACAACCTGAACGCATGTATGAAAAACCTCCCTTTCCTGAAACAGGACTAGCCAATCAGTCCGAAGAAAGTTGTGGCACAAGAAAGTGTACCTCAGTCCATCCCAAAATTTGCCGGTCAGAAGACATCCTAACACTTTCGAATGGGATAGGGACGCTAACTCACCCCATTTTTATCCGCCGTATTCCCTTGATGGTAAGCGTTAAAGCTCCCAGTGTTGACAACCTTTTCTTGGCATTAGTGGCAGACATCGCATGAGAAATGGGATCGACGGTTGGAAATGGAGGAGATGTAGAAATAAAGTGGCTCCGGTCGAATTTTTTCTTCCAACTTCCAAAAAAATGTACATAAACACCTTGTTTGCAGTTAGCTACGATTTCTTCTAGAAGGAATTATCGTTTGGAATGGAGAGTATTTCAGTGCAGGCAGAAAAGTTTCAGGGCGCTTTCTGAAGTTGCTATTTTTTTTGTTATGATGGAGCGCTGCAAAGTTAATTAGCTACCTTGCGTTGCAATTGACAGTCCGTAAATGGCACAATCCACCATTCAAATCCAACCTACCCATTGGGGCCTCAAAAAAATGTGAAAGTGAAAACTCAACAAAGATGACACTATTCCGAGTCGAAAGCCTTCGCGATCATATCTGCCGTGTTGAAGCCAGCACCACAACGTAGACAACCAAGGGATGTAGCTGGTTTGACGGGTTCCACGTAGACACCCTTAGTGGGGTTGGGTAAGTGAGTAGACAGAGTGACGTGGGTGTAGCCAAGAGTTTTTACAGAAAAAAGAGCCAGTTTGAAGGAGTAGAAAATGAATCCATTTTCTGTTGTGACTACGCGGGGCATAGGTACCCCTAGCGCTTGACTTATGCCCCCAGAACTTTGACACGGAATGAATTGCGGGAACCCCTTAACCGTTCCAGGGCAGCATGAGTCACATCATCAGCAATGAGGTGCTAATCGCCACGATACGCCTTTAGGAAAGTTAGTTCTCGGCCATTCTTGTCAAAATCGTCACTTGGCTATGCGGTGAAGTGCGAACCATCACGACCAAAGTCAACCTCACCCGTGTCGCCAACGCAGCATGCCGCGTTGAACACCTTACGCTGATACGTGTCTCTGCGGATAGAGGTTTCGGACCTTCTGCTGGAAAACACCCACAGCATCCCGCTTTACGCCTGTATTGCCATTGATGAAGGCTAATCTAACCGACGATGTCTGAACTAGCTGCCAGACGTTGGGACCAGGACGCACTGACTGCTTACCGCACTGCGTCAGGAGCAGCCACAACGGCATTTCCGTTTGTAAGGAAAAATCAACCCATCGACTTCCAGCGCCTCATTAATTCGCGTTACCTCACAGATAAGTTTGCTAGTACGATGGAAGAAATTCGCCAAAGCTTAAGAGCCTAAGTCACTCTCATGTATCTGCGCTGATGTTGTCAACCTATCACTTCATAAGTGGATAAATCATTATCGAGGTCTGACGTCTAAGTAGAACGAGCTTATGACTGAAGGGATGGTAGACGTATCCAAACCACCAGCACCCCAGCCAATGAAGTATTGAATGACCCGGCTCCAGCATATTGAAAACCACTAGTCAACTCCAGAATGCTTACCAACCTCCTCCCCCCACCTCAGCCGACCAATTTTCAAACCTACCACCTCCCACCCTCCAGACGCACCCTCTACTGTTAAGCTAATAAAGCAAAAACGCTTTGACAACAGCTTCCGCACATTCAAAAGCGGACTGTTAAAAACAAGCACTTGCTAAAACGCTTGTTAGTGAGGCTGCTCAGGAGCGGAATGGCCAAGGCCCCGAAAACGCTCCAATCATGGATAGTGGAACAAACGCCTGTTTCATTTAAAAGCGTTTCATTGTAGAATACAGAATAAAGTATGCTCTCGCAAAAGTATACGATACAGTCGGTGAGAGCATTCTCGTGCCGGATCAAAAACAACGGGATGATACACGCTTACACACACGCAGAAGCAGTACAAAAGCAGCACACGCACAAACACGCAGACAGTTACGGAAGGATGTGGCACAGCGCGGACAAGATTTGCTAATCGGCCATATCCATACCAGCGCCAACGCTGCCGCTACCGACGCCACCTCCGACACCACAAGGTGTTATCACGCTCATTTCAAAGCCGAGAGAACTCAGCAGACCCGGTACTTCTGCCTGGCGTTTCAACTTCTCCGCCTGTGCGGCCGCGATCTCCGCCTCTCGCTCCTCCAGGTAAAGGTCGGAGAGATCTTCGCCCGTGATCTCACGAATCTGCACCAGAAAGTCGCGCAAATGCTCTCTAAATGCGGACACATCAGTGTCCAGCGCAAAGAGGCCCTTGATGAAGACTACTAACTGGGCCTCTTGTAGATGGGGAAAGGCCTGTTTCAGTAGCTCCAACAGACGCTGATGCACATACTGGACGTTGACCTCTGGGGGTACGTCGAACTCCGGGGTCTCACCACCCAGCGAAACTGTTATTACACCGTTCTCCACCAACTTGAACATGTAGGCCAGCAGCGAGGCCTGTAGAGTCAAATCTAATGAGAGGTGGCTAGTGATTAGTCAAGCTTTTAATGTATTTTTTCATGACAAAATTTCTGCATCGGTATAAAGTACTACTACGGGATACCTAAGTCCTGGGTAATAATTACTGGGTGAATAGGTAATCTACCACAGAAACATGACATATGTCTAACTGTGATAAAATGGCAAAAAAGAGACACTGAATTTACTGTAATTTTAAATGGCACGCTATTTTGAGCCAAGAAGGCAAACAGTAACTTTATGTAACTAAAGTAGAAGCTCAATTTCTGAGTGCATAAATGTTCTTAAACATTGCTCGCGGAAGCAAAAGCAGATTTATTACTAGAAACGCCTAACAGACCATTTCTAGAGTAGCAACTCGGAGCATCGAGGACGGTAATGTAATTTAGTTAAAGAAAGCTAGGCGAGCTTACTTCCAATCTGGGAGCGGTCGGTGACTACAGCGAACATGTGCTGCATGATTTCGATGTAGAAGTTGCGGAAAAAGAGCTGCTGATTCGGGGAGTTGACAGCCGCAAGGTTGGAGAGCATGGTGTGGAGGATGTTAAGGCCGGTCTCAGAGACCTGCCGCATAGTGTGTTTGATGGCCCAGATGACGCTGTCAAGGATGAGTTTAAACTTTTCCGCGGTGAGAGTCATGAGGGCGGAGAAGCAGTGTGCATTCACTGCCTGCAGGAGGGTGAAGAAGTTAGTACGATGCTCGGGGAATTCCTCCAAGTCCTTATTGATCATCTCCAAGGTGCACTGGAACACCGCATCGAGAATGCGCGGCAGGGAGCGCAGCACGTTCTCGCTAAGGCGGTTCACGATTGTCGCCATAGTGGTGAGCACCTCGGGTTCACGGGAAATGGGTGGACTTTGTTGGTAGTCCGTCGCTACGGCTTCCAACAGGGGTGGGACGAAGTCGTTCGCTACCTGAAGGCGAAATAGGTATCACATTGATTCTTCTGTGGAATTTTTAAACTGCACAAGATGTACATGAACTCTGAATCAGGAATTTCATATTGACAGTAGGCATACACAAACAAAGTGGATTGGTTGAACACAATTTATAAAACAATTTAAATGGAACAATTATTTGCAAAAAGCAATCGTCTTCAAAAGAATCAAGAAAGCTGATGAAAACTTGGCTAAAACTAAGCCAAAGAAAGCCGATCTACAAATGAACATAATGGAGTTGTAAATTAGTTACATAAAAGTCAGTACATTAAAAGTTGCCTCCACATTCAATGTGTAAATTATAGTGGGTTTAATTACTATGCTTACTGAAGAACACTAAGAAAAGCCCCCAGATCCCCTGGACCAAATTGGTTGCCATTATCAGAGAACCTTATTCAACGACTACATAGATCTGACACGATGGCCCAAAAGTGTGCAAATCACGAAAGACAGCAGTAGGATTGACTGGAAAAGTGTCGGACAGAACTCAAAGATAAGGAAATAAGGGTTTGACGAAAATCACTGGCTCCTAACCCGACTATTAAACAAGGCATTTTGAATATTCTTTAACGCGGAAGTCACCTTCATAAAAATACAGTCCCATCGAAAAACAATGGAAAAAGTACCCGGCATCACGATAAAATGAAGATTTTCCAATGTGTATGTAACGCATATCAAGGGATGTATCAAATAAGCACCAAAAAATAGCGCAGATGTGATCTGAGGCGACAGAGCATTTGTGCAGCACCTACAGACCGCAAAATCTGCAAAATATCTAATAACGGTCTTTCTACGCATAGAAAAAGGACAGCAAGAGCTGAAGGGACAAATACATGAAAACAGACGTACCAATACGGGATTGTGACTCCGTTGAATCCAGCAGGAGAGGAGGTTGAGTACAGTCTTCTTGACGGCACGCATTGACCGTACAAGGGGTTGTTTGACAACCTGTTCACCGTGGGTAGCGATGGAGGCGTTAATCTGTTCCGAGAGCAGTCGATAGATGTTGAGCATATCGAGGTAGATGCGACACAACTGGACCATGTATGCATTGCCGAGAGCCCGACACGCAGCCAAATTGGTCTTAAGGATGTTGCAGAGTTGTTTCACCACCTCTACGTCCCCCAGCACGGTTATATCTGCGGCCACACGGAGGAGGATATCATCCCAAATGGCGTTGGGCAGACGGAAGAGACCCTCCACGAGATCGTTCTGTGCCGACCGGTCCGTTTCCACGCTGATTATCGTTGCAACCGCTTCGTAGAAGGTATGCACCTGCTGTGGCTGCAGGTCTGAGATTATGGAATCGGTGCTGCGAATTATGTCCTCCACGAAGCCGGATGATGCACCGCACTGTAAAGTCAATATATTACATCCGACTCTCCCATCGACAGAGCCTTTAAGATAGGGACTATAGCGTACAACTCAAATGGGTTGGGAAAACAAACTGGAAATTGAGGCCATATGCGCCAGTTATGAACAGTTCAAAAAAGTGAGCAAGCGCCATTTAGTAATAACTGATGACACGAGATGATGACAAAGCCCGAGACGGAGTGAAAAGCGTACATCAGAAAAAACCGCAAGCATGTCTGCGAATCTGTATTATCTATAACGACTTGAAATAAATTCCTGAAGAGAACGCTCGCGGTCTACTTGGTTCAAAGTTAGAGTCCTGGAAATCAGCTGATAAAGAGCCTGACACACTGCTCAAGAAGTATCCAAAACCGGAACGATATACTAAAATCCATGGCTTAAAATCACGAACATTGAATCATCATAGCATTATTTAGCATTAAGAAAATACTATTGTACTCAAAATCAGGCTAGTATATCCCGTCGTTTACGCCATCCATCAAAAAATACACAGGCTTTGTTGAAAGGCAATGACTAAGGAACTTATTCTACGGCTGTTACAACTGCCAAAGATCATGGTCATAAAAGAAATTAGAAACGCTAAATTTATTGAATCTAGTTGGAGTGAATTTAAACCTCAGAAGCGCGATTCGACAATAAAAAAGAATGCTCCACCAAGTGCAGAAGCTGCAGATGGCGGTTATTTCGATTCAGGAAGGCTGACTGGGGTGATCAGTTAAATAGGCATTAAAAAAACCAAGCTTCAAGACAGACTAACTACCAGAAAGGCAGGGCCAAATACTGACAAAGACTAACCTGAGGAATGAGAAGTTGCCTACGGCACTTTTGGGCCACCTTGATGAAGGTATCACAGGCCATATCCTGGACACCCTCATGGGTCTCGTGCATGAACTCAAAGAGCTTTGTGATGACAGTCTTGAGAAAGCGCCAGTGTGCGCGCAGAAAACGCGGATACTGTCCTACCACGTACATGATGTTGCTTGCGACAATAGCTTTGTTGTCCTTGCCTCGCTTGTGCTCGCATAGACCCAACAAATCGCGGATAACAATGACCAGAAAGGAGCGCTCGTTATCTTCCATCATCGCACCCGAGATGCTACCGATGGCCCAGCATAGGGAGTTCAAATTCGCACGCGACCACTCCGTTCCGTTCACCTGACACTTCAATTTCTGCAGCATTATCTTCTCCGTGTCCTGCAAACAAATACGCCACTGCTAACTACATCCATTGTACGTACCATGGGCATCTTCCCTTCAGTCCTTACGGGAAATCTACCATATCTCATTGCAGATTTTATCCTCACACCACACAAATCATCTATCAAAATTCAGCCAACACTCCCTCGTCCATTTTCATGGTTACCTTGACTATGGCTATCAAAATAAATGCATTAAAGTGAATAGCAATGCACTGCGTCAAAAAGGTAAACATTATCCAATCCATGGGAGAAATATCACTGAATACGGTGAGACTGAACACGAATAATGCAACAAATGGCAATAAAGAATAAACTGACGCTAACAGATATTGAAACCACGAAATACGAGGACAAGAGCCGCGACGCACTCGGATGCGATTTGGGCAACTCAAGTGCGGATATGAGCAGTAAATAGAAACGACACCTGATGGGCAAGCTTCGCAACGAGAGCACGAAATAGGCTCGACCACCACTTTGTTGACATTTCCTACACTTAAATAGCTAGCAGATGGAAAACCCCACATTTATTCTACGGATGAGTTGAGCAGCTTCTGATTAAATGAGTCGTATTTTAACTAGAAGAGATAAGTCAAACATAGCACTAACGAAAACCTGAAAAATGAAGGAGTACAACTATTTGCGGAATGGAACCAGATACTAATAACGATTATGAACAGAGTTCAGAAAACAAGGGTGTTTCGAATCATGGGGTGATGTCACCAGGGTAAGAAAAGGTTGTCATTCATGTAAGCGATTATTATTTTTAATATATTAATGGCTCTTCTTTTCAGACTGATTCCTGCAAAACGAATAGTTCAAATAACAAGGCTGTCTTGAAACAACCATTAGTCACAAGGAAAGAAAAAAGAATAGCACCTGTCGCATAACTCATTACGGGGAGTAAATCGAGTGGCAATGTACCAGAAAAAAGAAAGAAACCGCATATAAAATGACAATACTCGAAAAAAGGTTAAGAGCAAAACCGCTCTCAAAATGCGAATGTTCCCATAGGATATCCAACTAACATCTGGGATACGCAGTATGGTAGCTGGTTTCCCCATTTAATCTCCTCCGGCATAGGTCACCATTTATAAACATTCAATACTGACTAACGCGCGTAGAATTTTGTTACATTTGACACCAGCTGATTGTAAAACTACTCAGATTCCCGCGCTAGAGGTGTTAGTCTTCGATAGGCAGTGCTGGGTTCATTTTACACACAAACCCCATCACACTTCCAGCTATCACTTTTTAGTAAACATTCGCGAAATATTAAAGGACTTAATAGATCAGCTTCCAATGCGAATATGGGAAAATCCTAAGGCGAAAAAAAGAACCTACCTCGTGATCAAGGTGAGTCAAGTAGATAAGTGTTTCCCGCATGGTTTTGTACAAGTTCAGACTGTCCGTATCCTTCATGAATTCTCTCACCACCTCACCGTGCTCATTCTCCACAACAAGAACCTCCTCTGGTCGTGCCATTCGTGAGATCAGGATTGTCCGGAGCTGTTAAAGCGAAAAGCAGAGCACTTGAAAGATAATGCGCCAATGAGTTCAACAAAAATCAACACATTAAAAACGACCAACCTCCGAGAGAATTGGCGTGAATTCTGGCCGCGAAAGTGAGGGATAATGAAGGGAGCGACACGACATGGTGGCTTCAGTATACAGCTCGCAGACCCAACAGTCCCAATACTCCAGACAAATTTTGAATATTTCCTTATCATCAACCTCAGAAATGCGAAGAAGGTACTTATAGGCATCGACCAACTTTGTCGTTATCTCCCCCGACTCAATGAGATAACTATGACATTTCAAGAATGTGCAATAAAAGATTGCCAGAATTTGGATAAAGTTCTGCTCGTCCGTAGTGCCCTTCTCATAAGCCTCGCGAATCCGTGTGGACAGAGGCAACATCTAGAGAAGGAGCAGTATCAAATTTGTAAGGACACAACCAACCTCATTCAGCTTGCTTGTTGTAAGATCGAATAACTCAACAACCTTTTCCGGATACTCTTTTGCAGGGACGCCGGCTATAAATGGTGGAACGGATTAGATTGGGTGACTACAAGACCTACCAATTTCTGCTAGACACTTGAGAGTAACGTTTCGAAAAACGGGTACACTAAGGAAACGACATACAAGACTCTGAATGAGGTTGGTTTCAAAAATGTAGCCTAGTGGAATCCAGTGCATAAATCGGAGAAGCGTCTCCAACGTGACAACAACCAGTGAAGCGTTCTGGGAGTTTTCCAAAACCATCTGACACAATTGAAAAATCATGCCAAATTCCTGACACATGGAGTCTTTCAGATGCTTCGCCTTGGTCTGCGTCATCTGCCCCAACGAAAAGTCGAACACTTCTTCACTCAGGAGCCGCAAGATGACCATGTTGTTCTGGCATAGTGATTCATTAGTCTTACTAGCTCCAACAATATCGTGGATGAAGTGGGGCCAATTCGTGGGCCACTCGAACTTCAAAATCTACACGCAATGTGTAACAGGCGCGAAATCGCACTCGCTCACCTCGACCAAAATCATGTTGAGCTTACTCAAATAAGTTTTTTCGCTCTCCATAAGATCAGGATTAGAGGAGGTCTGAATGATTAAACCAACGATGTACTTTTTGATGCCCTCGCACTGAGGTCGGGCCAGCACC